TTGCGATTGCTTTTCAACAAAAACATTTTGCTTGTGTGACCTACTTCAAAATATATTTGTCATTAATAATGTTTTCTTCTTCTTTTAAAAATTGAAACCGTACCTTCAAGGACGTATGTAGAGGGACATGTTTGCAATGACTGTGAACAGTCGATGGAACACTTTTCTCTTCTATTGTGTCACTTTTCCTCCCTGCTAAGCTAGCAAATTGCTGCCAGGAGGCCTCAAGAAACCATAGCAACTATCTAGTGACAACCCTGTGTAGCTTTTGTTCCACAGTAGAAGGATCCATTAATCACATTGATTTCTGCCAGTGTGATTTTGGATACTTTTAAAGCTCTTAGCTAAAAATTGTGCCACATGTGTATGTGGTGAAGTAGCTTCTCTGCATAATCATTATCATCATCATCATCATCTTAAAGTTCTAAGGAAATGTTGTGGCTTTTTATACAGCTTTGGTATTTTCTCATATTCAAAGATGAAGTTGTGCAAGGAAGACAACAGTGCCACATTTATTGTGGCCTTTGGAATATCTGAGAACAGATACTACTTAAGAGCATATCACCATTATGCATATTTTAAAGTCAGCCATTCACTAACAAATTTTAGTTAATTCATTTTTGTACTATGTACCGTATTGGCCTGACTAAAAGTTGCGCTCGAATATAAGCTACACCTTTAAAATTCTAAGGGGGGAAAGAAGAAAAGACAATACCCGAATATAAGCCACTCCCTTAAAATTCCGCAGGCACGAACACCTGTTCCATTTTACTGTATGTCTGTTTCAGCAGCAATATTGTAAAAGTCAATTTTTGTAAGGTTGCGAATTTAAGCCGCACTTTAACTTTTCTTGGTCGGAATTTGGAAAAAAAGTGAGACTTATATTCAGGCCGATATGGTATATATAGATTTGCTATCTGCCACCCTGGCCCCATTTGCACCAGTCCAGCCCAGAACAGAGTCATACCTCATTGGACTGGAGGGGGTGGGAGGGGGCACATGTGTCTTTGCTTATATGAGGAGCATTTTTCTTCCACTGAAGGAACTAGAGGTCTTTTTAAATGGAAAAGGTATATATGTACATGACAGATCTCCTTTGTCTGGTAATCACGGGATTGGGATGCTGGTGTTCCAAGTATCACTAGGACAGAGATGGGGAACATATGGTCCTCTTGATGTTGTTGAATTTCAGTTCCCAACCGGCCCAGACAGCAGGGTCAATGGTTGGGGCTGATGGCAGTTGTAGTCCAACAACATGTCCTACTTTTGCACTAGAGAATATTGTTTAATGTGCAATAATCCATTGCACGAGCATGAAGGTGGAGTTTCAGTTTCACTTTCTGTTGTGGTGCTACATCCCTGGAGCTTTCCACATTAAGTAAAAACATTTTGGGCCAGATTCAACTACTCCATTGCTCTAGAATGCAGCGACTCTTGCAAGTGTAACATAAATTCCCCAAGGGCTGGGAGAATACCCAGAACAGTGAGCAGGAGAAAGAGGGAAGATATTGTTCCATCTGGCAAGCAGAAATGCTTGAGCTGGTGGACTACTAACATTCTCATGATCTTGAATTCCATCCAAAATTATTATTATTCACACAGCCTTTTCAGAATCTCTGGTTTTTGAGTGATGGGGTTTTTCCCCCCCTCATCTGCCATGATCTTCTTCTGTCTTAGGAATCTTTACTGATTCTGTTGCATTTTTCAACCCACTCTGGGAGATTGTTATGTTTGAAAAACTATATATAATGCCTTAAAATAAATATAGCTTGGATCACAGAATAATTTAAAGGCACATGAAGCCATCGCTTTGCTGAAGTTACACGTGCATGGGTCTGTTCAGTGCCTAGATGGATCACTGGTAGAAGAAAAATAAGAAACATAATCTTGAGCAGGTACAAATCAAGCACAGGAATGAGTAAATTTAGCCTATTTTAAGCTGTTCACTCATATATACACATTTATGATCTTTAGAAGTTTCATTTTCTTGATTGCAGCAATAGTATAGGTAGCTAAAGGGCATCTTTCGATTCTCTCTGCTTTCTAGGCTATTCTCCAGGAACTGTGTAGGCTGTATTTATGTTTGATGAAAAATGCAGATATCTTTCCACATAGGAAATCTGCATCAGTTTCCAATGAATGAGAGCATTCTGCTGTGGAAGTGATTTGAATCTTAAGAGCATAGAGTGAATACAACAGCCTGCTTAAAGATTCTTCTAATTCACTGCATTCTTGCATGGCCATTTGAAGGATTAGCGCAGAGTTCCTACGAAGCCCTGGTGGCAAATTAAATCTGTGCCCATGCTACAACTATGTTAGTGATGTAACTACTCAGGCATTACGGCATCCACTCCTTCTCAGTGTTAAGTTGTTTTTTTTAAGTGGTTTGTAATTTTACTTTTGAATAAAAATAAATGGAACAGATTCCTATTCTGTTGCCGTTTCACTAATGCTGGGACATCCATCACTAGTTACTCATTTCTAATGTGCCTTGCAGTACAGAAATGACACTCAGGCATGTGTTCCCAGGGATGTAGGAAGCTGATTTCTCCATAGTACAAATAGGCCCAAAGGGAACTGCTGCTTTATCCTGAGTTGTCATCACTGATCTATATAGTTCAGTAATTTCCAGTGAAATGCAAGCAGGCAAAAAGGGATGCTAAACAAAAGAATTTGAGGAACACATTGCTAAAAACATGAAGACCAAGATCCAAAAAATATTTAAATACATTAGTAGCAGGAACAGGACTAGAGAGGCAGTTGGGCTTTTGGATGATAAGGGAGTCAAAGATGTGCTAACAGAGATTGCAAAGAAACTGAATAAATGTTTTCCACCTGTCTTCACAGGGGAAGATATAAGGTAGACCATGTGCTTTAACCAACTTTTCACAGGGAGCCTGAGGAACTGAGACAAATAGTGGTGATAAGTACTAGACTTTATTGACAAAACAAAAACTGACAGATGGCATCCACCAGAAAGTTCCCAAATAACTCAAAATGAAATTACTGCTCTGCTAACAAAAATATGTAACTTGTCCCCATCTTCTCCACTGGAGCGTCTCTTATAGATCTTCTTTTATAAACACCCAAACATTTACACATACACATTTTTAGCAGATCTACTTGGAATGAGCAAGTTTTATTTTAACACAATGAAAAATAAGATTGTGAAAGTCCCTGAGCTAGTACACCACCAATTAATTTCTGCAAGCCTGTGTGCAATAGAAGTAAATTATGCTTAGGATCAAGCCATATTATTTATTCCAGGGTGAAGGGGAACCCACACCTAAAAGATTCATAAAACCAAATCTTTCTTAAACACCATGACTTGGATCCTAACTTTCTTTCCATAAGTGGAACAGAGTTCACATTCACAAAACAGGGATTTCAGGCCTCACCCCATCCAACTGCAGCCCCTGAACTTTTGCTCCTGGGGGTTGTGGGATTCTTGGATATGGCATGAGTGAAGGGCTACAGACAAAGAGGAAATGGTCAAAAATCTGCCCTTTACATGAACTGAGGAGCAACTTAGGATCCAAGCCTGTACATGAATTTAGGATCGAAGCCTATTACATGAACTGAGAAGCAACTTAGGGTCCAAGCCTATACAAACAGCTAGACAAAGCCATTCATATAAATCAGCAAGAAAAGCAAATATATAACCCAAAATCTTCACTTGAAAGAAAATGTGAAAAATCACATGTATGAAACTAAGTTCAACTCTAGCATTTGTTGAACCTGAGATATGAAGCAAATTGTGCAGCCTGTGTTCTTCTTATTTTCATCTTTTATTTGTGGTAAGAAACTAGACTGCTCCCTCCTTTCATTGTTTTACTTTCAACACCATTCCCCATGGATACGGATGATAGACACAGTTGTGTCAGAAAAATAATTATTTTATGGCCATATGAATTCTTGCCTGCCCTTGAGCAAAATCACAAGTTCTTAAAACTTACAAAGAAACAAAGCCATAACTTTGTATATATACAGATACTTTCCATGATTCAATGTATGACAATTTTACCATACAAATTGTACAATTTCCATAAAAATATCTCTAAAAATATTTTAAAATGAATCATACATTCAAGAAAAATTCTCTAAAAGGCTTGCAAGATGCAGCTATATACGCTTACAGTCACTTGAATGAGATATTTTGTGTGTTTGCATACACTGCAGGAGTTGATTGAAGAAACAGCTAAGCTTTAAAAGTACAGGGAAGCACCCCCTCCCACCCCTTCCAGTTGATGAAATACCTGGTTTCTTTCTACAACATTCCATTTGATTACCGTATTTTTCATCCCATAGGACGCTCCGTCCCATAGGACGCACCTAGTTTTTTGGGGGGGAAATAAAGAAAAAAATTTTCCCTTTATTTCCCCCCCAAAACCAGGTTGGGGAAACCGAACCAGGTTGAGGAACAGCGGGATGGCGGCGCTGCGCCTCTCTGCTGTCCCCCGAGCTTGTGGGGCTGGCCGATGTCTGCCCGGCGCGAGGGGCGCTCTGCTTCAGGGCACCCCTCACGCCAGGCAGCAGGCTGCTATCCGCAGCGTGGGGAGCCCTGCGGGGAACTCCCGCAGGGCTGCCTAGGCTGCGGATGTGTTCCTGAAGCGCCGGGTGCTCTGCTTTCAGCGCACCCGGCGCTCCGGGAAGCAGGCTGCTATCTGCAGCCTGGGAAGTCCCGCAGGGCTGCCTAGGCTGCGGATGTGTTCCCGAAGCGCCGGGCGCTCTGCTTTCAGCGCGCCCGGCGCTGCGGGGAGCAAGCTGTGGATGTTTTCCCGATGCGCCGGGCGCTCTGCTTTCAGCGCGCCCGGCGCTCCGGGAATCAGGCTGCGGATGTGTTCCCGAAGCGCCGGGTGCTCTGCTTTCAGCGCGCCCGGCGCTCTGGGAAGCAGGCTGCTATTTGCAGCCTAGACAGCCCTGCGGGAACTCCCGCAGGGCTGCCTAGGCTGCGGATGTCTTCCTGAAGCCTGGAGAGCGAGAGGGGTCGGTGCACACCGACCCCTCTCGCTCTCCAAGCTTCAGCCAAAGCCTGCATTCGCCCCCATAGGACGCACCCAGATTTCCCCTTCATTTTTGGAGGGGAAAAAGTGCGTCCTATAAGGCGAAAAATACGGTAATTTGCAGGCAAAATTAATTTGGCAAAATATTATTTGGACTTTATTTAGGCTCAATACAGCAGTAATGACCTCTGTTTATATAAACCATGGTTTATTGCACCAAAAACTAATGTTGTGCCTGTGCGTTTCCCCCCAATGCATGTTAGCTTCAGTGTTTCCATTCTGTTTAGTTGAAACCACCATTTCCTGCTACATTTCAACTGAGAAACTGTGGTTTAATCATGGCTTGGTAACCAGGATATAAAACCAAGAGCAGTTCATTTGTAATGGAAAACTAAGGAAGAGAGAAGTGGGTTGGAGTGGGTAGACACCACACTAGTTCTCAGCTGAAGAAACAACGGTTAAAGTTGCTACATCAGAACCAGGCCCTAGAGGACACAATTCTTTAGCGTGAGCGCTACTTTTTACCCATGTAATTTGCCTTTATGTTCGATACAATCAGTGTAAGAGGTGAGGTCTAAATATTGAATTGCACAGAGTTGGGTGATCCTACAGTGCTCGCCACAGAACAAGCTTGGATCATCGTAACTCACAAAGTAGTGGCTGTAATATTTTTGGAACAATTTGCTGTGAGGTACGCTAAGTTGATTTGCCATTTCATACAAGCTTTCTGGCGTTAAGTCCTTGATTCCATAAGCTTTGGTCATAACATACTCAAGTTTCCAGACTGATTCATTTTTCACATTGGCTTCTGTGAGGTTCAAGTAGAACTGCCAAAGATCCTGGAATTAAACGGAAACAAAAAGTGCACAATTGTATCCACTGCTTCATTAAACTTCTAGAGTGATGTATTGATTAAGAAGCCGTCACTGCCTATTATTCACAACTGAAGAGAAAGGTCATGTCCCACCACAAGACGTGGACTCATATATAGCTCAGTTTCTGACATATGCTAATACTGGGGGAAGGGAACGGATGGGAAGAAAAGAGACAAAAACAACACTCTTGGGCATGACCTGCAGATAAGACAAACAATATATCCAGCTCAAGGAAAATTCACACCAACATAACCCATTACTCTCTGTGTCCCATGAGTGTGGAATTGAGCACAAAATAGCTTCTTGCGAACAAAACCTTCAACTTTTTTGCACCACATTAGTGCAAAATTATATTTGAATGTGTGCAAGGCCAATGCCTGTTGGCCAAGTAGATTTTTAGTAGGTGTAGTAGGATTTCAGGACTCTTTTTCTCTCTCCATTATGGTAGAATAATCTGGGCAAAAGAAGTGAAACTATGCAAATGTGCATGATTGATAAAGGTCTCAGAACTCAATAGTTCATGGTGCTGGCTTCTCACATACTAGTAGAGATGAGGATGGTGCCAATAAGCTTAAGAGATGCTGCAATCCACCTTCTCGTGATTAAAAAAATATATATTCATTTGAGATAGTTGATCTGAACATATATAGTACAGTATAAATTTGCCTCCCTCAACCAGAAAGTACCAGACCAACAAAACCTCTTGAATGATAAATATTTTCTAGACCCATATTATAGAAGTTCAGAAAAGGGTTTGTGACTGAAAGCACCTTAGCTGCTCCAGTCTATTACCTGTGTCTGGAATAGAAAGAGTTATACCTTTGTTCAGTCTCCTAAACCTTTCAGTGGCATTTGATACTATATAATCAGATATCTCTGTGCTACTTGAGACTGCTGGGAGTTAAGGACACTGCTCTGCAGGAGGCTTCACCCCCACCTGACAGGCAGCTGATAAGCCCAACAGAACCAGAGATACCAAAGGGTTGTATCTTGGCCCCAAGACTTTTAACATCTACAGGCAACTGCTGAGAGAGCTCTTTGACAGCATGGAGTGCGGCGTCACTCAGCATCCAGCATGAGCTTTCCTTTCCCAGCAAATCCAGGAACAACAATGGATTTCCTGAACAATTGCCCTGTTGTATTTATGTGCTGGAAGATGGCTAACAAACTGAAACTGAATCCAGACAGAACAAGCATCATGACCTTGCGACAGCCCAAAACAGGAAGGGAATGTGGCATTCCCATATGAAGTTAAGACACCCCATGAAGGACAATGCTTAGAGCAGTCTTTGTCAAACTGGCACCTTCTTGGTCTGGGGTACTATTTCCATCAGCCCCAGCCAGCCCATTCTGGCCGATACTGATGGGAGGGCACTAGGTTGGCAGAGGCTGGCTGAGAGTCTGGTATGCCCATGAATCTCGCTTTAGTATTAGGTTCTTACATGGTGTCAGTGATCAGGAGTGCTACTTTCTCCAGCTTAGGCTGAGGAGCTGACTCCAACCCCTTCTCTCAAACAGAAAGTGGGCCTCAGTTATCTATGCTTCAGCAATCATCTGTTTGGGTCACTGCAATGTGGTCGACATGGGCCTGCCTTTGAAGAGGATTCTGCAGCAACAGCCAGTGAAAAATGTGTGACACCAGATGGGAATATGTCATTTACTGTTCTAGTTCTAGCTCAAAGGCATGTTTTGTTTCCAGGCCTAGTTGCTGACCTTTAAAGCTCCAAATGCTCTAGGTCTGCACACCTTAGGGAGGGTCTCTTCCTCCCATACATCTATTCCCATGTTCTCAGATCCACTGGGGCAGGCCTGCTCTGTGTCCTCCTTTTTAAAAGTGAAGGTGTGGAACCAAATTCTCCCGGTCTCTCTGGCGACACATTCCAAACTATGGAAATGCTTGTCTGGTGGTCCTTGCATTATGGGTCTTTCAGCAACTGGTAAATGCCTGCTAACAAGCAAGCCCTGCAGATTTATTGGCGCTTTAATTACAGCTTGCATCCCCATCCTGGTCTGTGGCTTGTTTTATCCCATTGTTTTTAGCGATAATAGGGTTCATTAATGTACACCGCTTTGGATAATGCTTCCGGCAGAACTGTGATTTACACCTCCCTCAATGAATTACTACAAATAACATTTGAACAAGGCATGTTCTCCCCAACCCCAACCCCTCCTCCTCCTCTTTGCAGAGCTGCCTCATATTGATTGCTGCTCTTCCTTTCCTGCAAATGAAAACAGTTTGAGAAACCAAGGCAGAATAAAGAAAAAAGCAGTGGAGCCCTCAGGGCAAGAGTCCAGGGCCACACGCAGCAGAATGAGCAGGAGGACCCACAAATACAGCAGAGATGGATTACCAAGTTTTAATGTAAGTGGAGTAATTTGCACTGCCATCTAAAGAGGGATGCGGGGGCATAAGACCATTAAGTCCAGAGTCTAAACTGCACCACTGAATAAAAGAGAAGACCATTTGTAGGATTAGCAAAGAGAACAGTAGCTTATTTCTAACAAGTGTGGTGTAGAGGTTAGGGTGCCAGACTAGGGCTAGAGAGATATGGGTTTATATCCCTACTTGGCAAAAAAGCTCATTGAGTGACCTTTAAGCAACCACAATCCCTCAGCCTACCTCAACAAAGTTGTTGTGAAGTTAACAATGGAGAGTGGGGAGAGGAGCAACTGAGCTCTTTGGAGAAAAAAGTGTAATAAATAAATAACTGTGCAATCACTGGGGAAGAAGGGAGGAACAAGGGAATTCTAAAGCATGTGAAACTTGGGAGACAGGTAAGGATACAAAATGTACAGACGTTTCCCCATACTTCTTCATACATTTCTAGCTACTGGTTTCAATTCCGTTCATATACGTTAAACATTGATACACAATTATGGAAACATGGAAAATGACTATTTAGGAAGCACAAATGGCTTTACCACTAACCACAGAAGTTAGTGTTAGCTGAAAAACTAATCACAAAACCCATCACATTAAATTTTTACTTTCCAGGAGACCTGATTTATTTTTGTTTTTTTACTTACCAGTAGATTATAAGAAAGAGGGTCATACTGATATAATCTCACTCCAGGATTGTTTGAGTCTACCTGAAATACGTCCTTCACTGGCGTCACAGCAGGTGCCACAAACAAGGAGTTTACTGGCTTTTCTGAATGATTACAAAACAAAAGGTTTGGGGAAATGGAGAAAGGTTTTAATAAGTGGCAATGTTTAAACTTACACATATGTTCACTACATTAGGACATGTACTTTGTGTCCTGCTCTTCCACCGGCACATTATTAAAAATCTTTATGCAATAACCACACATGGGAACCCCTCGCCACAATTTCTGATGCAGCCATCAATGCTTGCCAATCATTAAAGTTATGCCAACTCCCTGAAGTAAAACTTATTTTGGAGATTTCACATTTTTGGGCAATGGATAGATTTAAATAACAATGAACACAGTTTTGAAATTGGGAGGGGTGTCTACTGTTCAGAGTAAAAAAGACTTAAAAAGCCACTGAAAGCCCCTTGTGTGCACCTAAGCAACTTTTATGACCCTTGTCTTGATCTGATTCTGGGTAATCCTCTGAAAGGCAGTCAAGGTATCTCTACAAAAGCCATGCTTAAGAAAGCTTTGTAAAAGCAAGACTTCTTCAGATGAATTTAGGCTGAAAACCTAAACACGTTTACTAGAGAGTCAGTCACATGTGGGACTTACTTCTAAGTAAACATACACAAATTTGTACTGCACAGTTGTCCAAAAAGAAAAACACAATTCAATTTGACTACTTAGGGTTTTAAAAAATTATTTACACTGAGTTTGTCCATAAGGAATACACGGACCGCTTTTTTAAAAAAAGTCAAATTGCATAAGCATTCACATCATTAAATTACTTGTATTTCTACTTAACATGTGGAAATTTCCAGACATTATTAACTAGACTAGTTCAAAGCTTTTGGAACCTGTCACATACTTACTTGGCAGTATGTTCCATGGGAACTAGTCAGGCTTATTTCCAAGTAAACATGGGTAGGATTTGGCTGCATATCAATTAACTGAATTAATCAGCTAAAGAAGGGATGCTGTTGGAGTCCAACTTGTATCAGTCCCAACCAGCACGGTTAGTGCCCAGGGATAATGGGATTTGTAGTTGAACAACCAGAGGCTCTCCAGTTCCAGATTCCAGGACTAAAGATTTAATTGCTCACCAATTATCAACAAGCAAAAGGATTTTGGATGCTTCAAAAATCTGCTGTTGTTCAGGTTACACAAGCATACTGGTTTACATCTACAGATACCAGATTAAATGAAGAGGATAGGTTATCACTATGTATATAAAAAATCAGTACATGCTCTGCTTTTCTGGGTGAAACGATTTTGCTTTCCATTCTAAGCCATAGGCAACTGAAGCAGACTGTCATCAATTGGAATGAATGCCAGCATGTCTCAAATGTGGATCTTCTACAATACAGACACTGAACTTGCTTATTTTTTATGTCATTTTGGGATGCTACTACAGTGGTACCTCGGGTTAAGTACTTAATTTGTTCTGGAGGTCTGTTCTTAACCTGAAACTGTTCTTAACCTGAAGCACCACTTTAGCTAATGGGGCCTCCTGCTGCCGCTGCGCCGCCGCAGCTGCTGTGCAATTTCTGTTCTCATCCTGAAGCAAAGTTCTTAATCCGAGGTACTATTTCTGGGTTAGTGGAGTCTGTAACCTGAAGCGTATGTAACCTGAGGTACCACTGTATTGGGACTGACATCAAATTAAAGAACATCCAGTTGGTTAAGCACCTGCTTTTTAATCAATTGACCAAATGATTATATCACTATTGGAAACTCAATATAGTGCCTTACTGAGATAACAACCGCCTTTGCAAATAACACTTCTGTGATTTGTTCATTTAAACCACAACGTGCCTTGGTTTAGCATGATGTCCGAACCAGCAAATGCAACACTAAGCCAATATGCTTATAGTTTGTTTAGGCCATGATGTTTAAAGGGATACAATATTTAGGTGGTGTTTCTTAGATTTTAATGCTTCCTGCTGCTGCAAGTTTCTTTGTTCAATCTGAAACAACTTTAGAGAAGAATATATAATACTGCATATAATCTTGAAAGTTGGATGTTGGCTACATTTTACAGATTATTATGGGTTAGAAGACTCCTCTCTCCTTCTATCTTCACTCTCTGTTCCTGTCTTAATTAACTCTGAAGCAGCAGGGAGCCCAGTACAGACAGAGACCTAGTAAAGATGCAGGAAACACACAGAAAAACTGAGTGTATCTAACAAGCTTGAGAACATTTCCTTTTGACACATTCTACAATGGGTAGGAACTGGCCAGTGTAATTTGCGACTGTCTCTGAAGAAACAGCAAGGAAAGATTTTTGTATAGGATCTGCTATTGTCTTATGATGAAGTGCGAACCTAACAAAAGAGCTGTTATGGCTCCTATTTGAAAATAAAGCACAAGCCAAACCATTTGCAAAACAGGATCTGCGACGTTGATTATTTGTGATAGTTTTAAATAGAACCGATAGATTTAGGAAGGGTAAGAATGTACCAAAATCATGAAGCAAGGGTATGAAGGAGGAGGAGGATTCAAGCTGGCAACTGCAGAGCCAGGTTTTGTGGTGCCTTCCATGTTACTGAACTGCAGCGCCCATCCTCCCTGACCACACTAGCTGGGGCTGATGGGAGTTGCAACCTGACAACATATGAATGGCATCATATGGGTTAACTCTGATTTATCCCATTAGAGAATATGGCCTTTGCCTATCCCCAAAGCACCATAAAAAAGATCTCCCATTACTGTGTAATCTGTGTCACCAGCCAAGAAAGCTGTCATCTGCAAACATCATTACCCTTTTCATCTAGAAGAACCATGATGCTGTCTCGGTGAGTGTGTCCAAAAAACTGCCCAGCAATCACGCTGCTATACCGGCGAAATATTTCTATCAACCTCTCATTGTAGTGTTCTCTTATGGCAGTGGTATTTCGAGAGTAAGGCAGATAACCTACTGGCACATGTCCTATTACATAAACCTAGGAGATAAGAATATAAATATCAGAAAAGGCACTTTAATATTACATCAAATACGTTAGGTGTAAACTATAATGTTGACGTGAAAGAAATTGCTTATAATCTCACTTTTCCATTCGTTGCTTTCTGAAAGGTAAACACTTTTCCCCCTACTAAGAATGAAGTCATAGAGTGTTTGAAACAGGCATAAAGGCTTACAAGCTTGGAGGATATAGATTACAGGCCGAATAAACCAAAGTTCTACAATGCCATTGACTAGAGGCATGAGTTACAACTTATTTCCTATTAACTGCACAAACCTTTGTTACAAGAAGTCTTGCATTCAAACAGCATTTGTAGTATTTCAGGTAGGACTTATCTTAATTAGTCACTTCGTTTTTTGGCCACAACAACTGATGTATTTAGGAGTTAGAAGCCTTGAACTAATGATCCCAGTATAGACATAAGCACCATGAAGAATTAGATGACACTCCAAACTTCAGGACTATACCTGCTCCAGGCTCAAGCACACACAGAAAAGCTCACATGCTTTCAACCCATTCACATTTACTGATTAAAGCAACTCCAACTCTTGGCATTTGGCAGTACCAAACTATTTGGTGGGACCTGGTATTTGGCACTCTGAATACTTTTGGCAGCATACCAGACTGAGTAAGAGTGTCCCCATACTTTAGCATTGTGTACGGGTGGCCTTTGGGGTGCTCCCTTATTACCAAAGTTAGGAGTTCCCCTGGATTAACTGATACAAGTTTAGTATGCTTTCTACTCAGAGCAGTGGAAGTTCAGGGGACATACCTACCTTGCTCAAAGGTCCCACCAACTGCAAACTTTCTTGAAACAAATAGTTACCCTTTTCTCATTCATATTACTTTTTTTTATTAAAAAATCCTTACCTTTTCCTTGTTTTGATGTGCCGTCTCTAATACACGTTCCAGCCATGCAAACTGGTTTGCTGGATCAGTCATATTCAGAGTCATAGTGTTGGGAGGGTAGTATAAGATGGTATTTAAACTAATTATCCTAAGAGGTTGTGCAGTCATGTTGGACTGAATTGTTTGTGTATAAAAACCACCTAGGGGAGGGTGGAGAGAAGATGTATGTATTTTATTTACTATGGATAAGTTCCACCGATTTTTGGTTGTCTTCTCCAGTCAGGTAGAATAGAATAGGACAGAATTATCTAAGAATTGGCTTGCAAATTAAATGCAATATCCTTTCTATGGGCCTAAATCTAACATACATATTCCTGCTGGGTAATACCATTCTTCAAGATGTTCCATGGATATAATTCCAATGGGATAATTAATAAAGGGTAAACAGGAGTAATGGAATATAACTTCTGCATCTTTTGTCATGAGCTCATTCTACACTCGAGTAGGGCTCTGGCAGAGACACATGCCTAACCGGCATGTTCTCTCCCTCCTGGCCGATCGTTTGGGAGCTTCAAAAGCTTTCTTCAGCCCGAACATCACAGCGACCGATGCCAACAGACATTGGCACACTTAGGGATCCGCAGTCTTCGCAGCTTGCATAACAGACCTCAGCAACTCAGCATTTTGGCTAATCTAATTTATTTACATATAAACACACACAGAACACTGCAACATGGCTCCCTCTCTCTCTAGCATCAGACAGCAAAGAGAAAAAGAACAAAGGACCATAGTCCACCTTCACAGAACACAGTAACACAAACATCCTGTCTCCGTCACTTCCCACTTTGTGGAGTCAAAACATACACCATCATGTGATAGATTAAAATCCCACGACTGCAATCATGGAGCAGGAATTCTAACATCTTTAACATTTAAGAATTCTGCATATTTCTAATATTCTGTACATTTGCTGGAAAAAAACATGTAACCTAAAATTTGATTTACAGGTCTCCATTTTACTTCTTGAATTTTAATGTGCAAAATAAGGATCAAATTCAAGGGAAAAACCCTTTTTCCATTTTCAAATGCTTAAGAGGCTACAATAGATTTGGAAATTTATTTGCTTGCCGATAATATAAGAAGGTTGTAGCTCCTGCTTATCTCAGAGCAAAAATAGAACAGTTTAACTATAGATATCATGCTAACTATTTGCAAACTGTTAACCAAGGGAAAAATAAACGATGACCTCAATTATTTGGCTTCGTTACAATGCATTGCAAGGCACTGGACTAGATGAGCCTTGTGGTCCATTTCAGCTCTACAATTCTATGATCACTGCTTGAATATTTATGTAATAAACTATTGTTTGACCATTTGTATAGAGGAAAACAATAGAATGGGAAAAACCAGAGATCTGTTCAAGAAAATTGGAGATATGAAAGGAACATTTCGTACAAAGATTACCATAATAAAAGACAAAAGTGGAAAGGACCTAGCAGAAGACATCAAGAAGAGGTGGCAGAAAGAAAGAAATGGATGTCTCGTACACCCCAGGTAGTGTGGTTGCTGACCTTGAGCCAGACATCCTGGAGAGTGAAGTCAAATGGGCCTTAGAAAGCACTGCTAATAACAAGGCCAGTGGAAGTGATGATATTCCAGCTGAACTATTTAAAATTTTAAACGATGATGCTGTCAAGGTGCTACACTCAGTATGCCAGCAAATTTGGAAAACTCAGCAGTGGCCAGAGGATTGGAGAAGATCAGTCCACATCCCAATCCCAAAGAAGGGCAGTGCCAAAGAATGCTCCAACTACCGCACAATTGCACTCATTTCACACGCTAGCAAGGTTATGCTTAAAATTCTACAAGGCAGGCTTAAGCAGTATGTGGACCAAGAACTCCCAAAGTGCAAGCTGGATTTCAAAGGGGCAGAGGAACCAGAGACCAAATTGCAAACATGCGCTGGATTATGGAGAAAGCTATAGAGTTCCAGAAAGACATCTACTTCTGCTTCATTGACTATGCAAAAGCCTTTGACTGTGTCGACCACAGCAAACTATGGCAAGTTCTTAAAGAAATGGGAGTGCCTGATCACCTCATCTGTCTCCTGAGAAATCTCTATGTGGGACAAGAAGCTACAGTTAGAACTGGATATGGAACAACTGATTGGTTCAAAATTGGGAAAGGAGTACGGCAAGGCTGTATATTGTCTCCCTGGTTATTTAACTAATATGCAGAATTCATCATGCGAAAGGCTGGGCTGGATGAATCCCAAGCCGGAATTAAGATCGCCGGAAGAAATATCAACAACCTCAGATATGCAGATGACACAACCTTGATGGCAGAAAGTGAGGAGGAATTAAAGAACCTTTTAATGAGGGTAAAAGAGGAGAGCGCAAAATATGGTCTGAAGCTCAACATCAAAAAAACGAAGATCATGGCCACTGGTTCCATCACCTCCTGGCAAATAGAAGGGGAAGAAATGGAGGCAGTGAGAGATTTTACTTTTTGGGGCTCCATGATCACTGCAGACGGTGACAGCAGTCACGAAATTAAAAGACGCCTGCTCCTTGGGAGAAAGGCGATGGCAAACCTAGACAGCATCTTAAAAAGCAGAGACATCACCTTGCCAACAAAGGTCCGTTTAGTTAAAGCCATGGTTTTCCCAGTAGTGATGTATGGAAGTGAGAGCTGGACCATCAAGAAGGCTGATCGCCAAAGAATTGATGCTTTTGAATTATGATGCTGGAGGAGACTCTTGAGAGTCCCATGGACTGCAAGAAGATCAAACATATCCATTCTTAAGGAAATCAGCCCTGAGTGCTCACTGGAAGGACAGATCGTGAAGTTGAGGCTCCAGTACTTTGGCCACCTCATGAGAAGAGAAGACTCCCTGGAAAAGACCCTGATGTTGGGAAAGATGGAGGGCACAAGGAGAAGGGGACGACAGAGGACAAGATGGTTGGACAGTGTTCTTGAAGCTATAAACATGAGCCTGACCAAACTGCGGGAGGCGGTGGAAGACAGGAGTGCCTGGCGTGCTCTGGTCCATGGGGTCACGAAGAGTCGGACACGACTAAATGACTAAACAACAACAACAACAAAGAGGAGGGTTATATCTTGTATCACACCATTTTGTTCCTGTAAACAACATCCTTAACATTGACTTTAAACACTTAGAAACACTTTAAACTCTGAGAAACGCCTATGCAAACTATCAAGGATATACAGTACAAAATATACAACATCGTGGGTGTTGTCACATATAACTTTAATGTTTAGTAAATCAGTAGAATGATTAGGCCTTGGCAATTCAGGGACAGAAAGTGCCCTGAAATATGAAACATTTTCACTTGCAATAAGAACCCAATATTAGAAATTTTACCATGTCAATTTCACCCATATCCAGCACGGCCAAATAAAGACAGCGGACCTAGCAAATGTGTGCTGTTTTACTATCCATCCTACCTGTTCTCAAGGTGCTGACTGCTTCATCCGTAAGCCAAGGTTTCCAGAAATCCGCTACAGCATTGTAAACTTCACTGACAGATGCAGGCAACTGATCCTTAAAAATACAGACATCCCCTTAAGAATATGCTTTACTAATCATTATTTGTCCAAATCTTAGCTTTTCAGTTTGGATATGTACCAAGAATGTACCCCAAACTCTACATTGGATGAAAGGAGAGTATCATTCTATACCCCCACCTACATTCTGAAATAGCATTGTTGATTTTATTGTCTCAGAGTTACCCCACCTCATTTTGCACTACAGGTAGATCAGGTCACATTCTCATATAGGTGCATGAGATGCTTTTAAGAACAAAAACCCTAAACATCTGAATCCTCAAATAGTGACAAATGTATTTGAAACAGGTAAGAATTCAACCATAAGCAGTTAACTCCATATCGTTACAACACACTTTATCCAACTGCTTGCTCCTCTGTACTTTAGCACTGAAACACACTGTGTTTCTATGGGCAGTTCATTCTGGGGCAACAGGATTTTCCTAACCTAAGAAATGTACAAACATTAGGCTGCAACTGTAAGCTACTTACAGTTACTTGAGAGTATGTCTCACTGAACTCAGCAGCACTTTCTTCAAAGCAAATGTGCACTGTTGTATTGTTAAGCCATCTTTTATAACGCTGACTACTAATCAAAGGCAGTTAAATTATACTTGCACCCACAACCTCCAAGGAGTATAGAAACATAGGATCAGGTTGCCAAATTATTCACTCTCTTGAAGAATTTGTCTTACCTGTGGCCAATAGTCGTGATTTCCCAACGCAGGGAAAACTTGGAGATCTGGAAAGAAACTTCTTATGGTAGAAGTCACGTTACCAATAATGTCAATGACAATTTTTGTGGAGAGTTCTTTTACAGGAACATGTGGAGGGCTGTCTCTTTAAGAAAAGCAGAGAAAAAGAAAAAACTCAACTTGGTAGTTGTGTAATTATTTTTGAAATCAAACATTAGTTTCTCTGTAGTACTCTAAAAGTACTTCAGTACTGCATATTGAGAGTGATTAAAGTTATAATTAACATACTCTAACAGTTTCAAAGAAATTAATTAAGCATGAAATGTTTTCATGTGTTACATAAATTGCTTTATGACTAACCAGAGTTAAAAGAAACTGCAGGCCCTTCAAAGGACATTTTGGGCTTCAATGCACGCAATCTTCAGTCCTTGTAACCTGCAATCTGTCAAACCTACGGGAAGCAATATTACTATCCCTCCCATTTGTGCGTACTGGAGAATCTGCCAATATGAAGAGAAAAAAACCCCAGGATGTAGCATACAACATTTCCTGTCAGCCAGACTGTAATCCCGGGTCCCAAAAAACAGGATCTATCTGGGCTTCCCCCCCCCCTCCATTCCACTTGCCTGCATGCTGAGCCCAGGGACAAGTCAATCAAGGCTTCAGAAGTCAAATAAAATGTGTAACTTGGCCCTTAAAGTTAATCCCATAAGTTAAAATAAGGCTATGAAATGGCCAAATACATTTCAGTAGCTTTACATCAGAAATACTAGTGTCTTTCTTACTTACCCTGTCCATATCATGAAGGATGCCTGTTGACCAGAATCCTTCATGTGCTGAAAAGCTGATAAAATAAGCCGATATGGTGAATCACACATGAAATCTCCAAATGGGCCAGGGTTTGAGGCATTCACTCCTTTGGAAGAGGCACAAACCTGAGTGTGATTACTTGTAATGTGGTAGGTGGGGTCCAAGTGTAAATCGGAGATGTGCCAGAACTGGCCTGTTTCCAGACAAAAGAGAAGAAAAAACTGAGAATTAGATGTACATTTTCTTAGCAAAATGTAAAAAAATACTGCTACTGAAAAATCCTGAAACTCCCATTAAGACTCCATGTTCCCATTAAGGGTTCATCACCTTGGTCAGTACCTAGAAATTATTTATTCATTTGACCAGAAAGTTTTTCCCTGGTGAGGACAAGGTCTGAATCATCAACTCCTGCAGAATTTTAAGCTTTCACTATAAACTTTAGGATTTTTTCTTTTAACTCTTGTCTGGATTTACAGAACTTTCTGAATGAAAGATATGAACTATTGTATCACAACAATTCTGAAAGCAATCCTAGGTTTACTTATGTTGTTTCTCCAGACTTGGGGCAAATCTCCACCAGTCAGCTTTACACTGCTGAGGCATTGTTTTGCTGCTTTGTTTTTATAAATGGATGTGCTCTTGGTGCTTTTACACACTGTACTATAGTGTTTTCTTCCTCTTAAATTAATCAAGGAACTCCTTGCCACATGGCAGTGATTACAATGGAAGGCTACTTCGTAGTTGGCAGTGTTTTGGGGGTTTTTTTGCATCCCATAACTTCCAGGGCAGGGGGAGATATAAAATGGAAAGTAATCTGTGGCACTTCATGAAGCACAGCTGTGCAGCTACACAACTGTGTTTTTTAAAAAGAAGATTTAAAAGGTGACAGCAACTAAGGTTTATTTTCTCCATCAATGGCTATGAAATAACTGACCAGGAATGGCAATTGTTGACAACAATTTCCTGCCCAGAAAGCCACTCTGATCAGGCAAAGGTCAAGACAGTAGACAAATTGAAACATGCCACAAACACTTGTGCATAGGTAGTGGACTAACCAAAACATAGATCTGAAAAAATATGGAATTTAATAAATGTTTATTCTAACACTAAGCAATACTTTCAGTTGGTACCCACTTTTTAAATAGGCAAGTCTCTTAAATGTAACGAAACAAATTTTAGTTCTGAAAATGGCATACAGATGGTGAAGTGATTTACATGGAGTTAAACACTGTCTGGGACAAAACTGACAACAACACTGGATTAGAGTCCTAAGTTTATGAGCTTTTTTAAAAAGAAGAAGACAAAGAAGAAGCAACAGCAGCAAATCTCTGAGAACTAAATTTCTTCCTCAGAAGTCATTGCGTAATCACAAAAAGCTGAAGAGACAAATATCAAAAGGAGCAATGGAACAGTTAATCAAACCAGATTGATGTCCAATACATTTTGAGTGTTATCACTCTTTTTTCAGGGCAATTGGGTTTTTCAGGCCAATCTTAAGAAATTTTATCAACACTGTCTCAGTGGTATGGATCTGAGAACATGAGTCAGAAGAACACGCAAACATGCCACTTCTAGAAATAATGGGGAAAGTAAATCACACAGAAAATGAGGGACTGCCTTTGCTCACAGTTTAAGGATTAGACTGTGCTTTGAGACAAAAAGAAAAAGAAAAGGATCCAATGGTGCTTGTTAGCAGAAGGCACTTCTACTTGGAAAGGGCTTTCCAATTTCAACCAATTACTCTCTCCTATGCACCACGTCAAACACCATTTTATTGAGGTTTTGCCAATCATCAGGGGAAACTTTTTAGGAGGACGAACGTTGGGAAAGTCTCATTACAAGCAGAGTTTTGCTATTGCAGATTTGGATCCAAGCCAAGGTGACGTCAATACAGCATAGAACACAACCAGCTCTCTTATTGCTACACATTGGGATTTATTTGTTTTCAGAATAGAGAAGGATAAGAAATTATGCAACCTGTTGGAAAAAGAGGAAACAGTTGCACACTGCTCAGCTCTTTGGGAATGACATCACAAAAGGGAATGTAATAATGAGAAAAGTTCAGAATTCTTGATTAGTTCAATAGACTCAAAAGCTTGCATACTTTCAACAATGGAGACTGATTTAATTAAAAGATATCCATTTACTTACTTTGTACTTCAGGTAGTTATTTGCTTGGCATGTGTTATGTTCTATTTGTAACAACAGTCCCAGATGGTAAAAGCTACTTGAGGACAAGGAATAATAGAACCATCAAATTATTGGGATGCAAGGGACATAAAGGTCATTGAGTCTAAGTCCCTGTACTGAGAAAAAATATTGTGGGGTATGAAGTTCTAGAGACGGGAAAGCATTCTCCTGACTCTAATCCCTCCTTCATGATACTTCCCTTAAGCTGCCAGGGCAGTGGCTTGAGCATATCAATTACCTCTCTTCCTCTTTCCCATTTTCCCAAATTCAAGCTCTGCTCCCAAACTCACTGCAAAGTATTGTTGTGTGCACCCCAATCTCCGAGAAACGGAGACTCCAGGGTTCCACTGCTTACTGAAGGTTCAGTTTCCTTGGAACAAAAGTGGAGACTGTAGTGTCTTTAGGATATATGGTTTTATTTACAAGTATATACAACCTGAGCACAGGGTGGAAGGGCTTGCAACATTGATATTCCAGAAGATCTTAGTTTTCTAGTGGGTCCCCCAAAGCCATAGCTTTGGATTCAGCATACAGAGCAAGCCAAGCCACTCTGTCGCTCCTATCACAACTTCAGTCACTGAATCCAGAGCAGCTCCCCTGGCCTGTTATTTTCTCACCCATAGGACAACCTGACATCCAGCCAGGTGAGGGAGGAATGCCCACTCATTTGTCTCTATGGCAACACACAGAGCCAGGCCATGGGACAGGGAGCAGCTATTGCCCCAGACAGCAGAAGCCCCAGAGGCAGCACCCCTGTGAGTCTGTCCCGCCATCTTTGCTATTAGTACAGAAGCAGATCCGTCATCAGCACCAATTTTGGGCAAGATTGTGTCCACTTTGGATTCAGCACCACTTAAGGTGCATGTAAGAACAGAATGCTGGACTAGGTGGGCGACTGGGCCTGATCCAGAAGGCTCTTCTTGGGTGCCCTCGCTTATGAATGCCACAAGGGAATCTGACTGGCCACTTTTAAGAGCCACAGTGCTGAACTAGGCAAGACTTTTGATGTGACCCAGCCCCTTGGTTATGTACATAGTTCCGTATGCAATACCTGTGCAATAATGAAATCAGCAATGGGATCTCCCTCATGCAGCCAACGCTTTAACTGACACTCTTTCACCCTAAGTTACAGGAATATTTTCTCTACCAGCTCCATCCGGGTTGTCTAACAGTACTTCCTTGCTGTTGCCAGTTTCCATATGGCAGCAACTTGCAGCAGGCTCCTGCAGCACTGGATGGATGGCTGAAATCCTCTGCCTACTCACCTGTCAGCAACGCCCACTGTTATCACCACCTGCCTTCATTATTATTATTATTGCAATAAACCATAACCACAACCATCAGTATTAATTTGCTAACGCCTTCTGCGCAATGCTGTCTCGAGGCACAATAAAACGCGCTGCTACGAGGAGTCCTCGACGCAAGCGTGCACCCTTTGCCCGAGGTGGGTGCAAATGGCGAGGGCGAAGCCTTGCGGCGCTGAGTTGCCGCTGAGCCCAGGGGAAGAAGGCGCGCCTCCCTCGGCGCTTTCGTGCCAGCCTTCCCAGCGCCAGCCGGCCAGCCCTGTCTCGCCTCCAACTGGAGCGGCCCCTCGACCTACTTTTCTGTTATGGCGGGAAGGAGGGAGGCGCCTTGTTTGGTCGCCGCTCCTACGACACGGCTGGCAGCTCCCAGCTTGACTCAAGGCCGCGCTGGGCTTCAGCCCGACTCACCCGCGTCCGAGGGCGCTGCGCAGGCCGGGGCGGCACTGGCCAGGTCCCGCAGCGAGCCGCACAGCAGAAGTCCCCACAGGGCCAGGCCGCGAAAGCCGCGCCGCCCACCCATGCTCGGCTGGGCCTCTCCTGCAACCCCGCAGCGGGCTCGCTCTCCTGCAACCCCGCGGAAGGAGGAAGGCGAGGGCTTTGCGGCAGCGCAACACTCGACTCCCCTTCCCAAGCTGGCTTTTCCCTTTTGGCGAGGCGCGCGGAGAAGCTGAAGCCTGCCTCTTTTTTGGTTTCTTTTTCTCTAGCCCTTTCCAGGAAAGGCGGTTGCTTCTCGAGACGGCGCGGCCTGCTCAGAGGAGCTTGGAAGGGAGCCAGCCGACGCCTCGTAAATCAGGAAGCGGGGAAAGGCATCCTGAAGCGGCGTCGCGGAAATGCAAAGCGTCGGCAAAAGCCACCTCTCTCTTTCCCCGCTCCTAGAAGGGCTCCACCGGCGGCAGGTGCCCAACAGGTGTAGCTGCCCGACCCCCGCCTCTTGCCCGTATTTCCATGGAAGGCAATGATCCACTTCTTCACTTTTTGCCTGCCTCGATTGAGGAAGCATAACCTTCGTGCTAACTTGGGAGGAACACTTCTCCTTTCGTTTTGCCTGCTGATTAATTGGTCTCCAGGGGCTCACATGTTGCGTAAACTTTCCACGCGAAATACATAGTTTCCCTTGTTTGTGTTTTACATGAGTTTTGCATCTTCAAGCAGCTAGCCAGCCTAATTTTTCTGCACCTCCCCGAAACATCCCAAAAGATGCGGCAAGTAGCAACATGTTCCTGTCCTTCGATATTCACAGTTATCGATTACATATGAAGTTGCAAGTCAGTAAAGTTGTTATGCATAACATGAAGTGTGTGGTTAAAAGAAGGGAAGGGAGAATTGAAGTACAGTATGTTTGTAATGTGTGTGAAGAATATCACACAACAAAAGAGACTGCGTTGTCAAATATTTATCATTTAAACATAGTATATATAACAGAATCCTTTCCAACCATTTTTTTCTTTCCTCCCCACCTTTAACCTAATCCGTCTTTTTTCTTTTGCTTGGTACCACCATAAATCAGTTGCCATGGAAATTAACGCCACTCGAATGATGGCTTTTTCCATGGAGATGAAGTCAACAACCTTGTTCTCACATCCCTGGGAATGGGAGGTCTGGGAAAGGCAGTCATCTGTTTTGAACTCACAAGCCAGACAGCAGTGATGTGAGCTGTATTAATGGATTACAAACACAATGTGTATTACCATACTGCAGTCACAAAACATTGCAAGCTCTGAAGAAGAGTATTATGAGGTTACACAAATAAGTTACAGTCTTGCATAGATTCACACACATACATCATGATTCTACATCTGTACTGGGGCTGCAGTTTCTGAAAACTAGTGCTGACAGAACTTCCTGCTTAATGCTATTGTTAAATGCTATTGTCATGGACACTCCAGCATTGATTCCATCCATACATTGGACATTCCCAGTACACTAGCAGCAGCAGCTCCCTGTGTAGGACCCACTGCCAAATATAGTGCTGGATAGGAGAGCAGCCTGGAAATATTTTTAATTCTATCTACAGGTCTTTCTGCAGGCATGAACACTTCCTCATTATTTACTGCAGTGCCTGGGTGCTTAGTGGAGCGGGTGGCGCTGTGGTCTAAACCACTGAGCCTCTTGGGCTTGCTGATCAAAAGTTTGGCAGTTTGGATCCATGCAACCTAGCAGTTTGAAAGCACACTGGTGCAAGTAGATAAATGGGTACCACTGCCGCAGAAAGGTAAACAGCATTTCCATGCACTCTGGTTTCTGTCACGGTGTTCCATTGCGCCCAAAGTGGTTCAGTCATGCTGGCCACATGACCCCGGAAGCTGTCTGTGGACAAACACCAGCTCCCTTGGCCTGAAGCGAGATGAGCACTGCAACCCCATAGTCACCTTTGACTGGGTTTAACTGTCCACAGGTCCTTTAACTTACCTTTTTACCTAGTATTCTATGTAGCTCTATAGAATTTTGACAGCAGTTCACATTATCGCAGTAATCTTTACAACAACCCTGAAAGGTAGCTCACTATTATCCCTATATTACAGTTGTGGGGCTGAAGCAGAGAGACTGTGGTTTCCCTAAAGCCTCAAAGAGTGTATAATAAAAGTGTGGTCTTGAACATCTGGGTCATAACTCAGTTTTAATTACTAAGTACATGAAGAAAGACATGTTGCATGCCAGTAGGATTGAGTGATTTCTACTTATAATTAAGAGCAACCTTAGTGAGCACCAATTATACTGGATTGTAGAAGTACACTATAGCTATGCAAGTACAGTGGTGCCCCGCAAGACGAATGCCTCGCAAGACGGAAAAACCGCTAGACGAAAGGGTTTTCCGTTTTGAAGTTGCTTCGCAGGACGAATTCCCCTATGGGCTTGCTTCGCAAGACGAAAATACCTTGCGAGTCTTGAGATTTTTTTTTCGCTTTTCCCCCCCTTTATCTAATCTGCTAAGCCTTTAAGCCTTTAATAGCCGCTAAACAGCTGATAGCGCTAATAGCGCTAATCCGTCAATGGGCTTGCTTCGCAAGACGAAAAAACCGCTAGACGAAGACTCTTGCGGAACGGATTAATTTCGTCTTGCGAGGCACCACTGTAGACAGCTGCTATATCCATGCAGGGGAGGTGAAAATACACAACCCCAAAATAAAATTTAAAAAATGTATATAAAAAAAGCAGACACACTCTCAAGTGTCCCCAGATGCATCTCCAAAGCTTACCCATTGCACTGTGCTGGTCACAATGCTCACCAGACCCTTGTCCTATCACACCCCCTGCATCACAGCATAATAATAATATCCCGCCCATCTGGCTGGGCTTCCCCAACCACTCCGGGTGGCTTACAGCAAATATAAAAACATAATAAAACTTCAAACATTAAAAAAACAATGTCTTATACAGACAACAAATAAACCAATAAATCAATATTATTATTATAAAATAATAATAATAATAATTAATAAACAGCTCACAGTTATACCCAAATTAAAATAACTCCAACCCCAACCCAACAAAAACAAAAACAAAATTAAAACCATTTAAAACATTTTAGCCAGTTGCCCCAACCCAAGAGCAAGGCAAGGACAAAAGTTGGGCAGGCCAGATCATCCTCTTATATACCGGCTGGGATTGACAAGGTATCTGACCCTCACCTGAATCCCATAGCTCTCCTGTAGCTGCCTCTGATTAGTTTTCATTTAACTCTTGGGGGAAATAATTAGCATCACATGTCATGTGCATGGAAGTTGCCGAACCAGTTAACCAACTAGAAGGATTACTGTTAATAGCACCAGTTTTCCTATAACTTGATATTGCTGGATAGTTCTGATAAACTGCAAAAGCATTTTTAGTTTGCTTTCTGTTGCCACCTTGGAACTTTTCTTTATTTGTGCCACTTTGTTTTGTACGATTCCTTGCAAATGAAGGAAAACAACTTTTCTCCTTGTATATGTTGATAATATGTTTTTGGTTACTGAGAACAAACAAGATTGTACAAAAACAGGATTGGGTCAGGCCAGGACATAGGCATCCTGACTGTGACAAAGGTGCCCTGTGTGCTTGCTTGCTTGCTTAACAGCTGTTGGGAACTTCAAGGTCTCTGCTGTCCCTTCTTATGGTCTTGTACTGGACCTGGAGACTCCAATAGAGAGCATTCCATGGCAAGAAGGAGGGCAAGTGGGCAAGAAGAGGGCAAATGACAGAGCAGGAGTTACACGGAGCAGGGTCTTTTCACTGGTGTGGTGCCCACTGTATGCCTTGCTCTTCCCAGACCTGCTCTCTTTTGGCCTGTATTTTGGAGCTTTATAATTTAGGAAGACTTTGAAAGAACTGGTTGACAAGTCTTATCAGTTGCTGATGTCTGAGCGGATTTTATTTGCTACTATTCTGTGCTTCTGGTGCACCAGGGTTTACACCAGCGTAATAGAGTTGGCCAGGATGCCAGAAGGGATACAATTTATGAGCTTTCTCCATTATCTGCACAGCAGGGGGTGTTCAGTCAACAGTGCAAAGGCTGAGCTGAAGCATTCCCTGCTGGTTACCTGCTTTCAGCAGTAGGTGTCGCTGTTTGGTAGTACCCAATAGGTTAGCTGTCAGATTCTAGAGCTCCCTATTGGTGGCTCTTAGGTAATTCACAAAATACAGAGTCCATTCATAAAACACAGTGTTCATTCATAAAGCAGTAACATAAATTTCCATTGCTACATATTGGGTGTATATTTCAGCAGTTGAACATACAAGCTTATGGCCATGCTGTAGTGTAGTGCTTATGCGACTGTGAATAAAAGGTGGCTAGGCTCATTGTCTTGGGGTTTGGGGGGAAGAGGTGACAAAACTTATTTCCAATAAGTGCCCCCCTTTATTTCCATAACAAGTCCTTGAGTCTGTACTCTGAATGGTGACATCAGGGACCTAGAAGGTGCAGGGCTTGTCAGTCCAACCCCTGCACAGTCTCATCAGGGCTGGCCTTAAGGCAGTTAGAGCAATTGGGCCAAATTGGACCCCACGGGCCGCTCCTAAGGGGGCACCCTGCACCAGGGCAATATACAGTGGTACCTCGGGTTACATACGCTTCAGGTTACATACGCTTCAGGTTACAGCCTCCACTAACCCAGAAATAGTGCTTCAGGTTAAGAGCTTTGCTTCAGGGTGAGAACAGAAATCGTGCTCCGGTGGCGCAGCGGGAGGCCCCATTAGCTAAAATGGTGCTTCAGGTTAAGAACAGTTTCAGGTTATGTACGAACCTCCGGAACGAATTAAGTACTTAACCTAAGGTACCGCTGTAGATGGATTTTATTTATATCTATAAAATTTTGCAGACTTTGGTTGTGAACTGGGACCCTACAAAAAAAAAAATCAAGTTTCATCCCACTGTTTCAAATTGGGCCTCACTGGCTAGCCCTGAGTCTAATAGTTGCTGGGTCTGAGTTGCCCTGCCCTTGCATGAAGTCTTGGGTTTACAATTTTGGGAGAGGGGAGACTGCAGCACTGGGGAGCAGGCAGGCTGGCGAGGCCCCCTAGATTTAGAGGCCCTAGGCTTCAGCCTACTTAGCCTATGCATAAATCCGGCACTGCCCCTTATGTTCCATCGTGGCAGGAGTGGGGAACCTCAGACCCGAGATCCAGATTTGGCCCTCCGGGCCTCTCTACATAGCCCTTAGGACTCCTCCCCAGCCACACATCCCATGGCAATGGTCCCCAATATTTGAATCTCATTGAGTGCTTTTGCATGGATGGAATGTGACCTGGAACTGTGATAACCCCCCTTGTTTGCCTAGATGGAGGATGTGGTGTGTGTGTGCGTGCGTGCGTGCGTGTGTGTATGTGTGTGTCTCGGTGTGTAGAAACCTCTGACTTCTACTGTACACAATTAAGAGTCATATCTGTTAACCCACTAACTTTTGCCTCTGGCCCTGTCCGCTTCTGGCATGCAGTTCCTGGAAGGTTACCCATGAGGGAATGCAGCCCTTTGGCTAAAAAGGTCTCTCCCACCTGTCCACCTTCAAGACTTTTGTCCAAATGTTAGGGTTGGCCCAAGACATTTTGGCACCTGAGGCGAACCACCAAATGGCGCCTCCCTCCTCACCAGGAAAGAAGGGGTGAAGGAGGGGGAATAAAGTTTTACATCGGGATCTGTGGTCCCTGTGAATCCTGCTGTCTGAGGCAGTCACCTCAGCTTGTCTCATAGGTGGGCCTGCCTGCCAAATGCATGTTCTTCACCACCAGGAACTTTCTTACAGAACTGAGGACAAAGCTTGTAGCAAGTAATGTAAGGTAGCCTCTCATTCATACGCTCATACTGTGCACATGTAAGAAAGCCACTGCTATAACAAAAGAGTGAGGAAAGTGGTACTTGTTGCTCTTCCAGCGATGCTGATGACAGCAGTGAGGAAAAACTAGTGTTTGTAAAGGCAGCTGTAGGCAACAATGATTTCATTGGAGAGATATGCGTTCAACACTTACAGCGTTCTTTGGGAGAAATAGTGTCAAATGTTGCTATATCTCTGATCAGCCTTGTGAAAGATGATTATGTTCACCACTGTAACTGAAAGCAATGCTACCACTTATCTGATTTAAATGTGAGCTTTTTACTTCCTGTTGCATCCCATGGGGTGCTAACGTTTCTTGTGTTAAGTAAAATAATAAAGGACCTTTTCCTTCCTCGTTGATGATAAGGGAACGCTGTAATCCAGCTATAGCACTAATGGCCTGTAACAAGTTTTTAAAATATGAAAACCATGCAATTGTTATTTCAGCTGGTTAAGAACGCATGCCTCATTACCGGCACAACAGCTTTCGCCTTATAGGATGGCTCTGAGTTCAAGTATACGATGAAATAAAAGGATGGAATGAGTTGTCAGCAGTGTAAGCTGCTTTGGTTCTCATGTGCTGCTGTTATAAGAAATAGTCTGCACATATTTCAAATTGGTGGCAAAGAAAATATAAAATGGGCACTACACTCAGTGTAGTATCTTTGGCTTGTTAAATTGGATAAATAAACTTTGGCTTGTTAAATTGGATAAATAAATACATTTAAATTCATGTGTTGATGAATAAGGAGCCAAACCAGTTCAAGTGCAAGCTCAGCACCCATGCACAGAAGATTCTTGGATGAATGCTGGAGTATTTTAAAACCCTAAGACAAAGAAAAGGTTTGACTTCAACACTTTCATCACTCCCCACCACGGCAGATTCAGTCCAGTTGTCTCCAAAGCTGTTTATGATTCTGTCTGGATGGAACCAATACCAAAGAGAGTTGTTTAGACTGGGTGGTCATTTCTTCTCAGCATTGGCTTTATGAATACAACTTCCCATCCAATCAAAAATGTTTCCCCAAAGCATCCTTGTAGTACTGACAGAAGTAATGTGTGTTCTCCAGACACCAACCTTTTAATAATGTGCAGAGGGAACCATCAATTAAACCAACGTGCGGAGCCTGTGGACTTGCAGATGTTGTTGGACTCTGACTCCCATCAACCCCAGCAGCATGGCCAATGGGGAGGAATGATGGGAGCTGTAGTCCTGCAACATCTGAAGAGCATAGGCACTCCCCTGAACTAAACTTACCTTCTCAAAGGGTATTCAACTGTGTTCCCCACGCACCACACATGTAAATGCTGCACTACCTAACTTAGCTTTTTCTCATGCCTTACAACTATGAATTGATCGATATGGTGCCTTTCTTGTATGTTTCGTGGATTCTCTATTTCATCTTCCCTTAGTTAAGCAGAAATAACTACAGCTCTTGGGTGCCTGTCAAGAATGCTGGAGAGGACCATTCTTATTCTTGTTAGATCTTTAGAGACAAGGACCTCTAAATATACACAACCATGATAAAGCATTTACCCAATCTTGAGTACACTTTGGATTTTACAATTCTGCCACTTAGAGTGTGTGCTACAAGCTTTGGGATTCTATAAACGTCCAGAATCGTTGCAGCTTATGAAGTTGTGAACAATAAATTCATACACCATCAAATTACTTCTTGCAGTGGTGCATGATGACCTCACCTTTCAAAATCGCAGCAGCATTTTAGAAATAGCCATGATCATGGAGAGGACTGCAAGTTCCCCATGTGAATCGGCCAGAACACAGTAGCCTCTGTGTATATGGATGTATAACTACATATAAAATCCCATAGGGAAGTTTGATAAGATGGGATATTGGTAATAGAAACTGGAATTTAATCTCTTTTCTTTTATAATATGGATTGTGTGTGTCCAGTATTTTGCAGGTGAGATTTAAGCATATGCCACAGGGATTGAGAGCCTTTGATCCTCCAGATGTTGCTGAACTACAGTTCCCATCAGGTATGGCCAAAGGCCAGGGATAATGGGAGATGTAATCCTGCAACATCTGGAGGGCCAAAGGTATCCCACACCTGGCATGTGTATGAGTAACAGAAAAGATATAGATGTTCATGTAAGAGAATATGTATATGTTTTAAAGACAGATGGAGTGGGGTGAGTAACATGTAGTTTGTCCCTCCCTGTGATCAACTATTGAATAAAAGGGCTATCCCACCAAAATTATTTTCACTGAACTGTGCCATTAGTATGAAGCCCGAAGATTCTCTTGGTCTCAGTTTCGTTTGAAGTGTTAAATATTATTGGAATCCTTAAGTAGACAAGCAAGAATTTCAGAAATTTATTGCAACGTTTTACTGCTGCCATTTTACAGAGCAAGAGTTTGCCAATTTGATGATATACAGGTAAAAAACAAACTAGCACTTGGTTTTCCTTCCATGTCAGCATTGCTCATTTCAGAGATGATAGTCTGAAGACAGTTCTTCATACAAACTCCAACAAGAGATTGACATTTCTATGCTTTTTCATACTGACGAACAGCAACAATATCACCAAAGGTAAGAGTCTGCAAATTCAAGGAGAGATGGGGTGATTAGGACCGGTATGTGCCATTTGGACATAACACAAAGCACCATGTGGATCCTGTGATTCTTCAACAAGCCATTGTTGCAAAAATTAGCCTGCTTGCAGGCTTCCCACAGGCAACTGGTTGGCCACTGTGAGAGCAGGATAGTGCACTAGATGGGCCAGCCTGATCCAGCCAGCTCTTATGTTCAAAAATTGTGCAAACAGGGAAGGAGGAGGGGCCTCCTGCATAGTATATTACCTTATCAATACACTGCATTATGATTTATTTCATCAGTATATTGCGCAATGTGGTTCGAGTCAATAACCATTTTACCAAGGGCAAAGATGTTCACATTAGAATGTACCACTGCAGGTTTTGTAAACCATTAAGGTTTGAAAGAAGATATGGAACAAAATGCAATTTCAAGGGAAACCAAGGAATGAAGAATAATAGAAGAGAAAGCCTCTTTACACACCTTTCAATGATATGTTGAGAATTCTCATTAGATGTCCGAAAAAGAAACTCATGGATTTTCTGCCAATATGTGACGGCAGGAAGAGGAATTGTTAGAACATTCCCAACTAACTTCCAGCTGAGGTTTCAATCCTAATCTTACTCAGCTGGGAGTAAACCCCAGTGCATTAAGTAGGACTTACTGCACAATCCTAACCATGTCTACTCAGAAGTAAGATGGCTAGACCTTGACTGTTTTTTTTAATGTTTATTATCAGCTTAGTTTATTATTAACATTGGAACTGCAGATGTTACTTCTGCTAAACATGTTCTTTATAAGTGGTCAGAAGGGGGGGGTGGATTATCAGAAAGTCTGAGACATAATACCTCATAGTGTTATCAGCATGAGCATATATAGCCTCAATAAACCTTTATTTACTTACCATGACCATTTTACCATCTTTGATTTCTCTAACGAAGTTTGTCTCTTTGCCATCCCATTTCTGTACATGAACTAACTTATCACCATCCATGGTCACCACTGACTGTGGGTATAAAGAACACACATTAAGTTTATCCAAATAATTCTGAGCCCATCTAGTCACAGTTAAGGACTTTCAAAATCTCTTTATTATCAATGGAAAAATTAATCACATGTGTAAATTATTGAAAATCAAGATCAAGCGACAACGTTTTTGGGGGGAGGATTCACGCAGCGCAGCAGAAGCGCTGGAGGGGTTATGGGCCCAGCATAAATCTCTGAATTATTAGTCTGAAGCATTTATTTCAAATCAATAAACTTGGTAACAATACAGTTAAAAACAGCTCGGTAATAAAATGCATACTGTATATAAAAAATAATTTGATTCTTATATGTGTAGTTGGTTCAAATAAAGCTGTACCAGAATTCATATTTGACCTGGTGTAGGGACCATTCACACATTTCAGTGAATGGTAATAGATGTCATCCAACCAAGTCATACTCAGTGTAGGCTCACTGAAATCAGTGGGCTTACATTTCAGTTCATTGATTTCAGTGGGTCTTCTCTGGGTATGATTAACATCATTCAGTAAATGGATTCAATGTTTAGTTGAAATCATTCACTCTAAAAGTCAGATTGCTAAATACTAACGTGGAGTTTGATCTCAAGTCAAGAACACAGGTTCTGATCAGAACAGAAGCATTTCTGGAACAGAACAAGGACCCATTATTATCCAGCAGATTCTGGACCATTTGAGACATAGTCATGGGGTGATGCATAATGGAGTCATGAATGTTCTTTAGATACAGTATGCCTACCATGCATGCCCAGAGATCTCTGCTAAGGGGGTGATGCCACTCCCAGAGGCCTTGGAAAAGATGAAAGCCAAGTATATGATCACATCCCTATACTGAATGCATTTATTTAGAACCAGATCTCATTGGTTTGAACAGATCTTCCAAGTAGGTGTGCTTTGTGTCATAACTTAGGTGGCCCAAAAATTTAATAAAACCCTATAACCTCATTGTTTCAATGTGCTGAATAAGTTCAAATCAATCATTCTTTATTTCATGCCTTCCTTAAAACCAGTGCTATTTTTCTTGAAAAAGAGGTGCCAGAACTCACCAAGAACACCTCCCTTGTTCTCTTATAATGACAATGGTGCCTACCTGAGAAGTGCTGGAACTGAGTTCTGGTGAGTTCTGGCTGAAAAACAGCCCTGCTTAAAATTTACTTAGTGCTCCCATCAGTAACAGACAAAAAATATCTGTATTCTTTTACTTCCAGTCAATTCTGAAAGATTAGCTTTTTTAAAAAAAAAGTCTCTGTGGCAGCTCAAGCTGTTTCTTACTTACTTTGCAGTTCCTGTCATCTGCGGTAGTTTCATCAAATTCTTCTCCCAGGTTGAAGCTGATTTCTGTGTTCTTGAAGGTACTCTGGGTTCTGATCACCACCTTGCCTCCTTCCTGGCAGATGATCACAGTTGGTTTGGTCACATTCCCAACTTGGCGAGTAGCAAAGCCAACTCCTAAGATTTTGAAAAGAATTTTAAATGAAAATAATGAAACTGGTTTATTTTATATATTGGATTCTGAAGTTTAAAGGGGAGGAGGTCTTGCCACCCCATTGAAAAAATCATGTTTCCCCTAGAAACAAAGAAATTTTACAATCATCTAGTCCGGTTCCCTGCTCAATGTAGAATCAGTGCAGAATGCAACTACAGCACTCATGGCATCCAGCCATCCAGCCTTGGCTTAGATCCATCCCAGTGAAGTACTTAGATCTCCTTCTGCTTATTTATTGTATTTACATCTCACCATTCCGTTGGTCTGTTTAAGACTGCTCACAAAATCAGAATTGTGCAAGAGATTACACTGAATCAAGATAAAGTGATTGTAATAAAGATGTGAATGTTAAGTCTGCAATCCTAGGTGCAGTTACGTGGGACGTACATGAGAGTCAACCTGCAAAGGAGAAGATCTCATGAATTTTATTTGTCTGTTCCGTCATCTACTTTGCAACTCATTGCATAGTTGTCTATGCACATGGAGATTTCCCCCTCTTCCAATACTCGCTTGAGCTAGCTCACTGAAAAGCAATAAGGAGGATATAGAAGCATCAGTGATGCAATTCATTACCTTGTCTACTGACTGCTGCATTTGGTCACACAGATGACATTTTTGCTCTAATCAGCACCAGGTTTATTTTTGCCTTTGCTACTGCAACAGATGTCATTTATTTTCCACAAAAAATAAAGCGACACAAAGCATGGGCCGTCCATTACAGAGCTGAGCCAGTGCACCCTCATTGTCCCTCAGCTGCTTTTTAATTCACACACAAAACAGTTCCCACAACAGCTATACTGAAAGAGAATTTTGTTTCCAATTCTATTATGCTCAAATATTTACTGCGATGAGCATTTTAGTCCATTAATTTCCAATGGAACTTTTTAATAAGTGTGCTTGGGTATCATATTGTTAGGCTAAGATTCCTGAAAATATTTACTTGGGAGTAACATTCCTTCAAATGATGCTAGCAATATCGATGTACATTTATCCCCCCCCCAATCCTAACTATATTTTATTTGAAGCAAATCCACTTGATAAATATAAGTGCACTTCCAACCATACATGCTTAGAATCTCAGCCTTAGTTCATTCAGACTTACTTCTTCACAAGCATATTTAGACTTGCAAACAGCATTTAGCGGTACTTAAATTCAAGCAGTTGTGGATTAGTTCATACCGGTCTAAATTAGTTCATCTTCCCTGTGGCAATGCATGCTTATTTAAAATATTAAAATCATTTTTCAGTCAGTATCACAAGACTTACATCACTATAATGGGTTAGCACGCTGCAAAATCCCAAACTCTATAACTGTGCTAAAGAAGAAACAGTCACAAACCGCATGAGTAGATTACCTAGGATGACCTGGCTTAAGCAGTTACTTCTACATACCCAGTGCCTTCATGTACTCATCAAAGTTCTGGCTGTCAATCAGCTTCCAGGTAGCGCAGAATGCCTCGACCATTTTAGCTGTTGAATGAGAGGGATAACTGCTGGTGCGAGAGCAGGTGTTACTATTCCTGTGTTAGAATCTTGCACCTTCACTCCAGCTCAGCCCCTTCTTTACTGAGAGAAGAGGCATGCAAACTCGAAAATAACTTAAATTGGAGGCTCCACCCAGCCCTCCTCATTGCTCCTTTGAGGCAGAGTAAAGGGGGGGGGGGGAGGAAGGTTTCCAGTCTGTTAGATGATTGGATCAGGCCACTGGGTCAACAGAGCTGGTTGGACTAGCCATCCTATTCAGATTGGAAATCAGGGGAGGGAGAAGAAGAGGCTCTTCTGTGAGTGAGGGGAATGTAAAAATGTCTGAGGGTCTTTTAAGTTGTGTTTGAAAACTTGGCATAGGGAGGTGGCGGCCTCAAAAGGGAGAGCCACACAATAAGACATTCAGATTAGTTTCCACTGAAACTCTATATGCTGGTGAAGATTTTAAAAAGACACTGGGCTGTTATTTGTCTTGCAAAGAAAACCAAGGATTAACCCCTTGTTCACTAAAAAGGGGAAAGTATGAAAGATAGAATTAGCATATCTGCCCACCCCTCCTCTCCCCCAACCCATGCCAAAAAGGAATTAAATATATCAATAGGTGGGGTAATATACACTGACTAAGGCGACATTGTTTCCCCAAGGAAAATGGAGGGTATTTAAGAAGTGAGATATAGTATAGAATATTGTTACAACAATGTCACTTAACAGAGTGCACACAAAATATTTTTTTCTGACTCTGAATAGAGACAGGCCCAAAGATCTGTGACTTAACACTGACTGCTTCCCCCCGCCCTTACGTGCAGAAGTATGGGTCACCAAGAAAACATGCAATAACTCTGTACTTCATTGATAGAGCACATGCATTCGAAAGGTGTCAGCTTTTAGTATCTCCAGGGAAGGGTTAAGTGAGAACCTTACCTGAAACCCTGGAAGACTGCTGCAAGTCAGCGCTGACAATATTGAGTTAGATGGACCATAAGGCAGTTTCCTGTGTTTGTAGCAATAATTTTGGGGAAGGTCCTAGCTCAGTGGCAGAGCATCTCCTTTGCATGCAGAAGCTCCCAGATTTTATCCCCGGCATCTCCCAGTACAACTGTCTCACGTCTGCAATCCTAGAAAGCCACTGTCAGTCACTGTACTGAGCTGGATGGATTAATGGCCTGACTCAGGATAAAGCAGCTTCCTAAATTGCTAGGTAGATAGCCACTGTGGCAATATAGGGTATATGCTTCCTGCCATTGTCATACCTTGCACATATGAATATGGCATTCAGGGATAACAAATCCAATGGCCTCTTCTTCCAATCACCAAAGGAAATCAAGAGAACTGGAGCGACACTTTTGCTATGCAGGAACAGCTGCCCCCGGGTTACTTGATACATTTTAAGCTAGTTGATGCTGTGGTGTAGGATGCTGAATTTACTGGGATTCTATTGCTGCAGTAAAAGTTAAAGGTAAAGGGCCCCCTGACCATTAGGTCCAGTCGTGGCCGACTCTGGGGTTGCTGCGCTCATATCGCTTTATTGGACGAGGGAGCCGGCGTACAGCTTCCAGGTCATGTGGCCAGTATGACTAAGCCGCTTCTGGCGAACCAGAGCAGCGCACGGAAACGCCGTTTACCTTCCCACCGGAGTGGTACCTATTTATCTACTTGCACTTTGACGTGCTTTCGAACTGCTAGGTTGGCAGGAGCAGAGACTGAGCAACGGGAGCTCACCCCATTGCGGGGATTTGAACCGCCAACCTTCTGATCGGCAAGTCCTAGGCTCTGTGGTTTAACCCACAGTGCCACCCGTGTCCCTCTCCCGCGTCCCTCACCCGTTGCTGTGGTATTTGTTGCTTTTACTATATTTTTACTGTTGTATTGTGAATTGCCTTGAGATGTACTTTAATGAAAGGCAATGTAAAAGTATTTAAACTAAATACCCGCGCATACATGCAACAGACCCTCCAGGTGTCCCTATTTTCCAGGGACAGTCTCAGATTTACAGAAGCTGTCATGGTTTCTGATCTGATCCAGGAATGTCCCACTTTTCCTTAGGACGTCCCTATTTTCATCGGAGAAATGTTTGGGGGCAAGCATGCAATCCCAGGAGGAGCTCACAGCACTCCTATGACCTTAGGGTTAGGTGGCCAACTTTGGGGTTGGTTTCATTTCTCCCCCACCCATTGAATGATCAAAAGGGGGCATGGCTCTGTATCTCCTTCCTATCTAAGCACGTCCACCATTTGAAAGCATCCTTTTTGATAGAACCAGGGGCATAATGGAAATTTCTCAAGAGACAAATAGTTGCAGGAATCTGCCTTAATCTTTCCGCTGTGATAAGGTCTCCTAAATTGTTTAGAAATGATCAAATCCTGTGTACACAGCTATCTGATGGTGAAATTCCATGGACCCGGTGAAATTCCAAGGACTCAGAAGACTAGATTTTTATTTGGCTCATCCATACTGCCATTTAATGTGGATAGTAAGCTTCTCACACCACCAGCAATTTTCCACTGCCCTTATGACGTTTTTCTCCAAATCACTGCCTTCCCACACTTTTTGCTCCCTCAATCCAGTTTTTCTCATACCCTCTTCTTCTCAGAGTGTCCTGGCATGAGATGGTATGTGGTGGCTCCCTTTCTCTTGAGATCATCTTCTCTCCCAGCTCAGACAACCCTTGATGTTTAAGTGTCCTCTAAAAACATTACTTGGATCCCTCCAGCCTTTGCAGTTATATTGTTATAATTTCAGTACATTGCTTTTCCTTTACTCCTGCTGTTATGAGCTGTGTTTTAAACTGCATTGCAATTGTAATGTTATGTTATTTTAAAACTTTTGTACACTCCCTTGAGACCAATGTGGGAGGTGTCATAAAAATGTATTAATATATTCTAGCTGTTTAGCATGTGTTCTCCACAGCTCAATAGTGTTAAGTGCATTGCTAGTCTATGACTGTCACCAAACAATAATGCACTTTGCATAGGAGTTTCTGTGTGTTTGGAAGTACTATGCAGAGAGGAAAATCCATGTCCAAGACAGGTTCTGTTCCTCAAAAGTTCAGCTAGCACAAGCCTTATTGAGCTGAAGGCCTGGAACAGCTTAGGCTGCAGGACATTAAATGGTTGCATGCTTCACTTCAAATGGGTGCAGAGTGCCATCTACTGCTTGCAGCAAGCAATAACAACTTTGCCTGTTCTTTGTGGCCCATTCACCTTATCTTGGAACTTTACAGCTTGTAAAGAACTTTGGAAACAAGTAAAAGGGTAAAAGACTTTGCAGAATGGTTTTCATATTTTGCAACATTAAGGTAACATATACCTACACTCCAGTTCATCATATTTAGCTTTGGGAAATAGATGCAGAATCACTGACAGCCAGCACATGATTGACTTGCATGTGATGAGGAAATGTGACCTTTCTAAGTGAATTGTAGGAAAGCATTTACCTTTACCTGTAGGAAAGCATTATTAGAATACTGTAGTATCTACCACTATCAAACATTTCAATTACCCCCCTCCCCAAAATGTGGGACTCAGTGGGGTGGAACCAGGGCTGGGTTTAGGTTTGCTGAGGCCCTAAGCTACTGAAGGTAATAGGGCCCTTTATACATCCAGCTGTCCTTTGTCAACAACAAATTGTCACTGTTGCTTGTGTTGAATATATGCTATATGGTAATTTATGGACCTAATAGGTATCTAGAGCCATTTGTACATAACAAATAGGAGCCTATACAACATAAAACACTGTTGCTGCATGTTTTATTTTATTTTATCTTTATCTTATATTTTGGAAATGTACATCCAGTTTTTTTTCTTTATTTTTTTGGGGGGGCCCCCAAGAGAGTGGGGCCCTAAGCTATAGCTTGTTTAGCTTATATGTCAATCCAGCACTGGGTGGAACAGAGTGTAGTACCAAGTGGGGTATGTGCACATGGAATGAGGTTCGCTTGCACAATGAGACTTTCCCCTCCTCTATTCCCTGAGTTTCCCCTAAACTTGTTCTGGTTTACCCCTCAACCCTCCAGAATAGACTTGGGGAGCACACAGGAGGGAAGAGGGGGAGAAAGTCCCATTGCGCAAGCAGGTCTTTTTCCATGCACGAAACTCAGCTGAATCCTGCGCAGAGGCAGGCCACAACATTTGGTACAAATTGCTACAGACTTGCCGTGGAGCATAGGAGGATGAATGCAGCATCTGTGGTGTGAAATAGACAGGAGGAGAAACCCATTTTCCTATCACAGAATGTTGTTTGCAGCAGAGACCAAGGTATGCTGGAGCTGCATGCAATCTTCTTATCAAGAGACTGGCTAGCAGAACCCAGCCTGGGTGCAGTCAAATGATGCCACAGGCCTCCCTGAACAATACTGAGCTACAGTAGATGAACCAATGATCTGACTGATCCTGAGGCCATTTTCTGTGTTCCTAACGAGAAAATTCTGCTTTGCTGACTTGTCACTTGCAAGGCCTATAACAACAAGCAATTGCTAGGTATCAAATGTATACATTTTTTTCCTAGCTGATAGCCAAACTTCCGCTTGGGTCAATCCTTGGCAAGGAAGGATGGGTATAATCTTGCCCATTTCTAATTTCTGTATTACATGATAGTTCTGTATGATGCTGATGCATGGCATGTGGTAATGATGGCAATTATTGGCCCAACTGTACAACCCACTACATTTTGCAACTCATTACCCAAGGCATCTTTGGCAGTGCCTGGAGACAGATAGTCAGGTTGTGTATCCACAGCAGTGACCAGAGGAGGAATGACTGCTGGAAGGAATGCAGAGAGAAGAAACATCTGTAACAGCGGAACTGGATGCCTTCATCTGCCCCACCTGCAATAAAACATGTCTCTCCCGTATTGGTCTCTACAGCCACAGCAGGTGCTGTAACTCTCCAATGGTTTGACTTTACCCCAAAGGTACACTATTCCATTGTCTCCCAAGACAGATGGATGTCAACAACAACAACTTCTGATGCTAGAGCAAATAACAAAGTTGGATGGTACCCCATCCAAAAATATACTGCTATGGGTGCAAGAATTCATACAAGTGTGCTCTTGAATTGCTGTACAAATAACATATGCAGTTTATTTTAAATACAACCTTTATTATAAAACGTGAATCAATCCTTTGGTACAGGCAAAATATATATTGAAAGAAAATGCTTTGAATGTTGATTTTAACAGGATCAGTTATGAGCCAATAAACCCACATCCTAACTCAAGTGAAAAGTTTGCGTCCCTGGGTCTTGTGAAGACTCGAGTGACAAAAAACAAACAAAGACCAAATGAAGAGATAACCAATTCCATTTTTCATGCTGAAATGAAATAAAAGTTTAAATCAATTACAAATGCCACTAGTTCACTTTAGAAACTTATGGATACACAGAAGGTTGAGATCACTGGATAAGTCAGATTTGAGAAAGGGCAGCACAGAATGCTCTCAAAAGGATTTTAAAATCCTAAGTGATCTCAGTGCCTTGTGACATTTTGAAGGAGTGAGGAAAGAGTGTTTTTCATTTTCCTCTGTATACCAGGACATCTCTAGAGTCCAAACTTCAAAAGGGTATCCTGGGGTTATAGACAGGTGGCATTCCATTTCCTCCAAAGATTAGACAGCCTACTATGTCAAAAATAAACGGCTTAATATAGCCTCGGATTCTGGAGAAATTAAAAAAATGATAGGGCTAGGGGAAGAGAGAAAAGGCTACCTTAGAAATGAAGAAAGGAGGGGCTTGTGCCATTGTTACAAGGGATCCAGAGACCTTTCGTACGATTCAGAGATACTTCCATGTTCTGAACACTCTGTATTCTCTGGCCAGGAAAATGTGGTACTCAGAGCAGCCCATTGCCATGGTGACGGCTGTGTGGAACACAGCTCCCATCAGCCAGTGGCTGTTGTTGTGTGAATTGTGCTTGCATGAGAGCCATGGGCACCTACTAGATTGTCCCCATGGTGCCTGCCCAACATTCCCCATTCCTGAAACATTGCGTGAATGTGGGGTTGTACAATTTATTGTCTCCCTATCTCTGCCCGAGACACTGATAAACACTGCTACCAGTCTATGTAGACAATAACTGAGTCAGATGGGCAAATAATCTGGTCTGGTATAAGGCCGCTCCCATGTTATTCATTTGTTTACATTTTTAGATAGTGCTCCTTTTGGCTGGGCTACAGAAATGCTGCAAGGAGAGTTCTTAGGGACCTCTTAAAACAAAAAGCACACTGGCAAGTCTGCCTTTCCTGCATCAGTGCCCTACCATTTTACAGCTTTTAGAAATGGATTGTTATTTCTGGAGTTTGAGCTCTCCTGCTCCACTCTGAAGCTCCCATCTCCCAGGATTCATTTTCTACTTTCTTTTTTAAAGCCTTGGTCAAGCTCCGTTGCTGCAGCACAGTGAACCCTACATCTTTTACATTAGTACAGTGCGCCTCCGGCTCTCAATCAGGGCTAGGAATGTTTCACGTTAAACACAAATAGAAATGTTTTGGATTTATCCTCTGAAAAGCCCCCAAGAGATCAACCTAACAGCAGCAAGTATTTGGGTGGTTGTTGCATTTGATTATTTACACTGTATCCGAGAGGATATGCTGGCACTGATTTTGTTACAGGACTGAAAACAAATCTAAAACCTTGACATGCATTCTGCAGATATTGGCTGTGGACTATAGCACACAAATAACTTGTTATTTCATGGATTAGGTAACACCACTGAAAACCTTCAACAGCTCCTTATTCATGTCTGCCAGCTGTTTGAAGTATTGTGTATTTCAGAGTCTTGCATAAGCTGGGAGTGGAATCTGTTGGCGATCTCCACAAACCAAGCATTTCACAAATATTAGGAATCCATGCTCTTCCCTTCCGTTTCTTGATTTTCCGTTGTGGTGTTGGAAGAGGACATTTCCCCGCCAGCAGCTCCTTCATCTAAAGAGAGGTGGATATGAGAAACAATGTGTTAGATGTACCCTGAACAGTTTGGTCAAAACATTCTGATGGTTAGGAGGTTTGGTGAAGAGAATTCCGAGTTAAAAATGGATTATGTTAATATTGGACCATATGGAATTCAGAGAATCTGGGAGGTTTTACAATAAAGCTTTGGATAATGGAGATGATATGCTAATTTCATTGTGCAGGAAAAAAGCATGTATATATTACATACTACATGGAAGGTAGCCTGTTGCTGGGTTTTTTTGTGAAGATATACATTTCAGAAGTTCCTGAGTTCCTCTGGCACCCAAAATAAATAAATAAATAAATTTATTATTATTTATACCCTGCCCATCTGGCTGGGTTGTCCCAGCTACTCTGGGAAGCTTCCAACAAATATAAAAGCATAATAAAATATCAAACATTAAAACCTTCCCAATGCAGGACCACCTTTAGATGTCTTCTAAAAGTTGTGTAGTTCTTTATCTCCTTGACATCTGATGGGAGGCCCTCTGCCTGGTTCCCTGTAACTTTGCTTTTTGCAGCGAGGAAACTGCCAGAAGGCCCTCGGAGCTGGACCTCAGTGTCTGGGCTGAATGATAGTGGTGGAGATGCTCCTTCACGTACACAGGGCTGAGGCCATTTAGGGCTTTAAAGGTCAGCACCAACACTTTGAATTGTGCTTGGGAATGTACTGGGAACCAGTGTAGCTCCTTTAGGACTGGTGTTATATGGTTCCGGTGGCCACTCCCAGTCACCAGTCTAGCTGCTGCATTCTGGATTAGTTGTAGTTTCTGAGTCACCTTCAAGGAAGACCCCACATAGAGCACATTGCAGTAGTCCAAGCATGTACCAGTTGGCCCGTACAGTTGGCAGTCACTATCTAGGAAATAGTACAACCCTTGGCCATCAATGAGGGGTAACATCTTGTTCTCAATCGTTTTGTCTGCATTACCTTCAGACATTGAGAGCTCAGCTAATTTGTGTGGTAGGTCCGATGTTCCAGCACCAGCAGAAGAACCCAGAATGTCTGGTAAGGCATTTCGGCGACCGGCCCGTCCAGAGGCTGCAAAATCTGTGACCACAGGCTCCACATCAGTCATCTCTGACTTCTTTCCTCATAGCAACATTGACTGAAAAACACAGAGTAAAAAGAAGATTGTCAGCTTCAAGAGTCTAGTGTCGGAGAACAAAGTAATCCTGCTATTTGACAGAGGAAGGTAGTTCGCCTTTTGAAAACCCAAATGTCAGCTGGCTGAAGGGAGCACAGAACCAGTTGTTCCTTAGTAAATGTCAGGGGTTCAGCACACCGATGCTGAAATTCTATCCTCAGAATCCACTTTTTCCTTTCTCTCCATTTCCCATTTGTTCTTCAACCACCAGTACTGAGCAGGCATAACAGAAAACTCTCCACATTCATGACTAGTACAAAGAAAAGCATCCGTGGACTTTCACAACTTTGAATAGGCAATTTTGTTTTGTGTATTTTGTGGGGAGTTTGATCAGCCAAATAGAAGATGACCAGCTTTCTGTGTTACTGTCCTATCTCAGAGGAGGATTTTCTTTAAGTTGGAGAGAAAACTTCCCAACAATTCTGAAAGATATGGGGTGGGGGTGAGAAGAAAGAATGGAAACTTTTGTTTCAAATGTACGGCACAGGCTGGGAGCTAGCTGCAGGCTTTCGTCTGAAGAAAATAGATACAAATGGGATTCATAGTACGGTTTTATGGGAATGTGATCTGGTTGCACAACCATATGAAAAGCTTTTTAAATACAGTGGTACCTAGGGTTACATATGCTTAAGGTTACATACGCTTCAGGTTACAGACTCCGCTAACCCAGAAATAGTGCTTCAGGTTAAGAACTTTGCTTCAGGATGAGAACAGAAATTGTGCTCCAGCGGTGCAGCGGCAGCAGGAGGCCCCATTAGCTAAAGTGGTGCTTCAGGTTAAGAACAGTTTCAGGTTAAGAACGGACCTCCGGAATGAATTAAGTACTTAACCCGAGGTACCACTGTATTAGCATTAAAAACATGTATTTTCTCTGCAATCCAGGAAGCACATTTTTGAAGTTAGAAAGAAGTACTGCTCTGCTATCATGTAACTACAACGGGGGGGATGGGATGGATGGACCTGCAGCTCTTTACTCCTACCAGCCCCAACCAGCATGGGCAGTGGTTCAGTGATGAGCCACAGATGTTCAACACCCCTGAACTACAAGGGAGAACACCCCCAATTATTTCTAGAGCCTTTCCTGGGGCTGCTGGGAACTTGCAAAGTGCTCTTCCCCATAACAGAACCAGTGATGTGGTTGCTCAGGCGCAGAAGTGCAGTTGTGAAGATCTGACCCCATGAAGCAGGAATAATGCAGCCGTAAAGGGAGATTGGATGTGAAGACCCATAATAAGAGGAGTTAGGACCAGGAAGGATAAGGTGATAAATTCAGATTAGTGCTCTCCCTCCCTCCCCAGAGTTTCCATTTGATGGGCCTCTTTGCAACACCCCAGTCCACAACAAGTGCCACCCTTTAAGATCGATTCCCTGATATGAAATAATATTGTACTGGGGGGGAAAGCATCCAGTTGAAAAGCCGGGCTTGAGGCTCATTTAAAATGAGAAATAACCATACAGACCGAATAAACTTTCACTCACATTAGGATACATGGACCACACCAGGACATAAGACAGGGTTCAGCTGCATATGGAATCACCTAGATTTGAAGTTGGAGCAGCAGGTGGTGCTGTATGAATTCCTTCACACACATGGCTATTACTTCACAGGACTGGCTCTAGTCACAACAAGAACTCCATCCAGCTACATTTTCTTGTCATCTGGCCTTCATAAGGGCAGTGGAGGTCATGCACTCAAAACTATGTCAACAAAATACTCCACCCAGCTGAAAACAAGCCACGAGTCATGAAAGCAACTTGATTCAAGCTCTGGTTAGTTCACACTCTTCTGGAGCAACCCTATGCATGTTGACTCAGGTGCAAGTCCCACGGTGTTCAACAGGGATTACTCCCAGGTTTGTGTGCAAAACACTACAGACTTTGGCTGCAATCCTGTAGGCAGATAAATGTATGAGACCTATAGGTATTCAGTGGTTTTTGTTGCATACTATTATGGGGGGGGGGGGTTATGTTGAGCATAATCGGTCTGTAAAATCATGTCAGTTGAGTTACTGACCTAAAATCATGTCAGTTGAGTTACTGACCTTGTACCCACTTAACCTAGGAGTAAGTCCTACTGAGTTCTGAGTAGACATGTATAGGATTGTGCTTTAAAGCCATCAACCAATTAATTCACATACAGTGGTACCTCAAGTTACAGACGCTTCAGGTTACAGACGCTTCAGGTTACAGACTCCGCTAACCCAGAAATAGTACCTCGGGTAAAGAACTTTGCTTCAGGATGAGAACAGAAATCACACGGCGGCAGCACGGCGGCAGCACAGTGGCAGCGGGAGGCCCCATTAGCTAAAGTGGTGTCTCAGGTTAAGAACAGTTTCAGGTTGAGAACAGACCTCCGGAACAAATTAAGTTCTTAACCAAAGGTACCACTGTATAAATTACTGCTTTCTAATTGCCTTTGGCACTGTAAACCTTTGGTACACATCAGAGCAAGCCTTCAAGTGAAAAACAAAAACTAAGATTTTCACTGCCATGTTCTGAACCATAAAAATATGACTCAATAATTCACTTCCAGCTGAAAAAGTTATCCATCTTTCCAGAAGCTTCCAGTCATCATAAAGACATTTCTCTTTTGCCAAGTATCAGACCCAGTGTGAGCTGAAAAATGAGCAGGTCTTGCCTGTCTGGTGTTTATCCCTCAAGGGAATATGTAAAATAAAACTTCTGAAACCTGATCAAGATAAACATGTCAATATTACCGCATTTGCTCCAACTATCACTAATGATTCATTCCAAGATGATTATTAACTAAAGCATTAAACCAAATGCAAGCACAGTTCGCCCAGATGTGGCACAATTTTTTCAGCAGGGATACAAGAAAGGGAGTGAGATTGCTTATTCTTTATTTGGACTATGTCAGCAGCTTTTCCTCACTGCCAGCTTAATTGTGGGAAATGAGTCACAGAATTCACTTCAAGCAAGTAACAAAAAGAACACAGATCTCTCAAGGCACCATCACAGTAGTTTATCTCAGGTTCAAACATGGTTCATAGTAGATGGGAGTGAAGAGTTTGTCCATGGAATATTTTAATGTATGTTCCCATCTCACCCCCTCTGTTACGAGGAAGTTCTGACATACGTGGTCCGCTGTTTCCCTCTCCTCCACTATTATTCCCCTCTGAATGCAAGGCTCATACACGCAAGTGCAGAGTGCTGCTGGGAGAGATGGATACAAATGCACACTTAATAGTTCACCCAGGAAAGGAAACAGTTCCTTGGGAATTGTTATAAAGCTCAATTGCCTCCACTCCACACAGGGTGCTGAAAGGAGAAGAAAAAACACATTGCTACTTGCTGTTTTTAGATTGTCCCTTTTGAAACACTCTCAGTCAGCTGCAAAGATGACGTAAATTCTGTCCTTTTAAAGATAAGACAATGCTGACATGTGCTAAGGTCTGGATTGAGGCAACGGTTCAGATTTCTTGTTTGGGGGGTGGGTTCTCAGCATAGCTTAAAGGGTCGTTCTTGCATATATTCAAAATCAAATCACAGTAGAACAATTTACAGTGGTACCTCGGGTTAAGTACTTAATTCGTTCCGGAGGTCCATTCTTAACCTGAAACTGTTCTTAACCTGAAGCACCACTTTAGCTAATGGGGCCTCCCACTGCTGCCGCGCTGCCGGAGCACGATTTCTGTTCTCATCCTGAAGCAAAGTTCTTAACCCGAGGTAATATTTCTGGGTTAGCGGAGTCTGTAACCTGAAGCATATGTAACCCGTGGTACCACTGTATATGAGTGTTTTATAAATGCAATATATTTAAAATCCCATAGCTCATAATAAATATAGAAAAATAACTACTATTTATAAACAGAAGAGACAGTCTGGTATAGTGGCTAGTATTGAACTGCCAAGTGTCCCTAGCCTGGTTCCCTCTAATGACTGGGGGGCTTCAAGTTGGGGAAGGCTGATTGACAAAGGAAACCCCTTCAAAGATATGCAGAGCTGTCACGAGGAAGATGGAACAAGCTTGTTTCCTGCTGCTGTGGCAGGTAGGACCCGGACCAATGGATTCTAATTGCAAGAAAAGAGATTCAGAATAAATGTTAGGAAGAATTTTTCGATGGCAAGAGCTGTTTGGAACAGGCTACCTCAGAAGGTGATGGACCATCCTTCATTGGAGGTATTTGAACACAGGCTGAATGGCCATCTGCCAGTGATTCTTTAGTTGGGATTCCTGCATTTAGCCAAGATTCTTCTAACTCTACATTTCCATGATTCCATGAGACCTGGGAGACCGGGGTTCTAGTTCCCACTCAGTCATGAAGCTCACTGGGTGACCTTAGGCTGGGCCAGTGTTTTTCAGACTCGGATCTCCAGCTGTTATTAGATTACAACTCCCATCTTCCCTAGCTAGCGGGACCAGTGGCCAGAGATGTTGGGAGTTGGATCTCCAGCTGTTGTTGGACTACAAGTCTGAGAAACACTGGGCTAGCCACTGTCTCCCAACCTCACCTTCCTTCACGGGGTTGTTGTCAGGATATAATGGGGAGAAGGAAAACCACGTCCATCACCTTTTGCTCCTTGGAGCAAAGGTGAGATATAACTGTAATCACAAAATACATAACTAAAACACAAATAGGCCCACTTACCCTCCCTAGTGGTTTCTAAGAAAAGAGCTGTGCACTCTAGTTAGCTGGTGCATCATTAAAAAGGTCTTTTTCTGGGGCACACACATTTGGGTCCTGGTCTGAGGTTCCTGGGCCCTGGTCTGAGGTTCCTCAGCCCTGTCCTAAGATGCTAGCAGAATTCTCTCTACTTAGTGGAAAAAGAAACAGAGAAGTGCTTCAAGGCAGCCATTTTACTAATCGGCACTGCAGCACACACACAGGCTCTGGAATAAAAATCTTATAATGGGCTGATTGAAGTCAGTGTGACCTCCAGGCTCTGGAGGGTCTTTGGGCGAGATGCCTTCATGGGGCCCTTCCCTGAGTGGACCTCACGCCCTTATTGGCTTCTGTTGCCACTGTCCATAGCTCTCTATTAAATGTCATCTTTTTTCTTTTTTTAATGCATGGTAGCTATAATGTTAACACTTTATGTACTCTTCTAATATAAAACTCCAAGCGTCATCTCCATAATGTTTTCCTGCTTTAATGAATTAAATGAAATTACGAATAGAAATCTGACTAGCACAAGGGTGACTCAGCATAAAATTGGATTTGAAATGCAACTCATCCTCAAAGTAAGCTCATTCTGACTCTGTTGTCTATCCAGAACCTGGTAATTGAAGTTTAAAAATTTCCAGATAGCTAGAACACATGCACACAAATATACTGGCATCTGGATAATTCTGGGGAGCCAGTGAAAACTATAGCAGTGCAGTGCACAAGTCAAGGCAGATCCAGGCAGCTGCTTACCTCTAAAAGGAGGTTACAGTGGTGCAAGGTTTGTGTTAGGCATTTAGCAGGGCCGTATGATTGGATGCAAAGGGCCAGCGCAGTCCTGCCCACTTCCTGCTAAATTGATATTGTTGCTTTTCACCTCCATTCTCAACCTTTATTTCATCCTTGGCTATCCCTTCAGATCATGTCCTTGCACTTGCAGTGAATTGCACCTCCATCGCTACACATGCATTGTCCCTATATTTCTTTCAAATTAACTTGTCAGTGTTGTTTTCCTTCCCTATAACTTCACTTTCTACAATGCAGATAAGAGCCCTCTTAATTATGCTTACAGGTTTCCTGCCAGCCTATTTGTACGTTTCTTTCCAGAAAATGCTGGCTGCACAGCTTCCTGATAAAACAAAAATGACCCAATTTGCACACAACATTACAGTTTATTTTCAACAATAGCTTGATGTGCATGAGTGCATGGCTTGCACCTGTTCCTGACTGGGCCACTCAGGGAAGGAAACAAGCAAAAGTTTGGCACACAGCCTAGGCTCAAAGTTCATTTCTTCCAAACAAACCACAAACAGAAGACTAAGGCTTCTTGGGAAGAAACAAACCACGATGCCATTTCATGACTAGCTAAACCGTGGCTTGCTAGTATGAAGCATAACCAACCCAACTCTATCTGTGGTAACAAATGGTACAGTAACTGCTTAGTGTCTGGATATTAAGCTGTTGCTTTTTCCACCTAGATACCTGTGACCTTTTAACACCTTTTCTATCAGCTCCAAACTGATTTCTCATATTACTAATATGCAGCTGTGCTTAGATGGGTTGGTTTTCATTACATGGCATTTTATTTCCTTTAATAACAGCAGGAAGGAAAAGTGGGAAGGGAGATCTGCATAATCAGTAAATCCTTCAGTAATACAACACTGCTGCTTTGATATTCAGACTGGAGTTGTGCAGCATGCATCCTGAAGGACATCTACTGAGAAAAATAAGTTACAGACAAATCTACACCCTTTTTGCCAAGAACATAAGAATGTGTCCCCTTTTTGGACCATTTGCCCCACCTAAAAAAAGGGGGGAATGGAAAGTCACTGGGTCTACAGCAAACAACAGTATGAAAACAGCCAAAGACGTAGTGGCAACCTTAGCATTCTGGCAAAGAACAGGTTTTGCTTCTCTTCTGAAAATGGAGAATGAATGAATGAATAAAATATTCTAATTGCTAAGGCTGTCAAATTATCTGCTTCTAAAACTCAACTTCTATAACTTCCTTAATCAAGTATTGCCTCACAGCCTGTCAGCAAAGCAACCTCATCTATTTTCATAAATTAGCATATTCTTGAGCGGCTTTCGTTGCACCAGTAGCTATCCTTGGATCCGTTTGGGAGACAGTCCTCATTTATTTTTCATGTATAGTTAAAATACAAAATGCAGAAAGAACCAGGAAAACCAAAGCTTGGCGGAAAAAATGGAGACGGAGGAGACAGTTCGTGTCTATGCCATTTTCACCGTTCTATTGCATAGTGGGAAATTCAGAAGCCCAGCAGACAAGGAACCAATTTGTTCAATTAGTATGTGGAACTTGACTCTAAGACCCCTGCTTGGTTCTTGGCCCAGATAATATTATTCACAAAAAGTCTTCCTCGGTGCAGCTCTCTGTTCTGGTGCTCAAAAGCTTGCACAACCTGCCCATGTGCTACCAGGCATCATAGCCCATGAATACGCTTCCAGCAACATAACTGGGCACTCTATTCTACCATGCAAACATACATTCTTGGTTTTCTCTTCAAGCTTTCTTCGTTTCTGCAGCATAACTTGAAGGGAAGGTGGAAGTGGTTTCTACTGTTAAAGCAACTGGGAGTCAAACCCTTAGTCACCTGCTGGAAACCACCCAGAGATCTACTGATAGATTCTGGTCTCTACATTCTCCCCTCCCCATATTTCCAGTCTAAGGAAATAACTCTTGGAAGAAGTTGCTGAACTCACTTCGCCCTGGATCCCAAGCACAGGTCCATCTTTGCCTTAGTCACCTGCCTCTGGTTCTTTGAACACTGATCTGCGTTCACCAGAACTGGACTGCCACATGGGCCCCTAGCCTCTCACTAAGCCAGACTTGCTTGAAATCCTGCTTTTCCCCACTCTCATAACATTAGGCTTCTAACCAAAGGGTCAAGGAGATTTTTCACAATCAGTTCCATGTCTCCTCTGAAAACACTGGTAGCAGCATTATTTTCCTGGGTGGTGGGTGGGACACCTGTGCTATTGGACTCTTTCCACCAGCTCAGCCATTGTGGAAGCTTTCACTGCTATAATCACAACAGAAGAACTTCTATACCTGCTTTAGGGCAAAAAGAAAAAGCTGAAAACCAAAATTAGACAGGGATGCATTATCAAAAGCTGGATTATTGCCCTCTACTCTGAGGCTTTACATCACACATGGAATCTGCTTGCTCTCAAAAATACATTATGCAAAATCCTTACATGCATATGGTTTCCATTAACATTCAGCCAAAGGAAAGATTTCTTCACCTGTCACTGTAGCTTCTAACAACTGCATCTTCACTTTTTAATAATTTATCCTGAGTCCCTGTCTTCGCCATAGACATAGACGCCAGTTTAGGAGTCAGTTTTATCACAGTGCAGCAATTTAAATGCCAAAATCAATTCCAAGATATAATCCTGACTTTGGCCATTCTCTTTGCTGGTGTTACCCTCACTGTCAAAATAGTTTCTCTCTTCCCCTTAAAAACAGCACCCTCAGTTCTTACATTTACTGAGCACATTCTCAGGTCCACCTTACCTTTCTGTTCTTTCTTACTTTAAAGAATATTTTATCCTCAAGGGGCAACTGGCTGGGAACATACATTGTAAGCAAAGCCCAGAACAGGTGAGGTCTGACCAGAGTGGAATAGAGCAGTATAAGAGCTGGCTAATGGGCCATGGTCTGACTTGCGATAAAACAGCTTCCTTTACTATAGTTAGCCACAGTCTTGGCTTTACTCATAAAAAAAGGCAACAATCTCACACAGTGTCCCACCTTTGCTACCATTTTATAAGGCATCTACTTCCACTAAACCTGATGTTAGGCATGAGTGTTTTGAGTATGAAGTACAGTACAGTAATGCCAGGCTGGTTTTCTGCCCTCAGATAAAAGGCTGTCAAGTGTCAATACAGTACAGTGGTACCTCGGGTTAAGAACTTAATTCGTTCTGGAGGTCCGTTCGTAACCTGAAACTGTTCTTAACCTGAAGCACCACTTTAGCTAATGGGGCCTCCCGCTGCCGCTGCACCGCCGGAGCACAATTTCTGTTCTCATCCTGAAGCAAAGTTCTTAACCTGAGGTACTATTTCTGGGTTAGCGGAGTTTGTAATCTGAAGCGTCTGTAACCTGAAGCGTCTGTAACCCAAGGTACCACTGTAAATATTTAGGATAGAAAAAGGGACAAGACAAGGTTGCCCAATTTCCCCATTGCTTTTGATATCGGTCCTGGAGGTTCTGCTGAATATGATTAGAAGGGACCGGTTGGTTAAAGGTATACAGGTCGGAGCCAAACAGTACAAACTGAGAGCATTTGCAGATGACTTAGTATTGACGTTACAGGAGCCAGAATCTAGTACCAAAAGAGTTTTAGAACTGATTCAAGAATTTGGTCAAGTTGCAGGTTTTAAGTTGAATAAGTTAAAGACCAAGGTTTTAGAGAAAAACTTAACACCAATGGAGAGAGAGAGGTTTCAGAATGAGACAGGTTTAACAGTGGTTAAGAAAGTTAAATATTTGGGGATTAACATGACAGCAAAAAATGGGAATTTATTTAAAGACAACTATGAAAAATGCTGGGCTGAAGTGAAAAAAGATTTAGAAATTTGGTTAAATTTGAAGCTTTCACTGCTGGGCCGTATTGCTGCGGTAAAAATGAATGTATTGCCTAGAATGTTGTTTTTGTTTCAAACATTGCAAATTGTGGACAAAATGGACTGTTTCAAGAGGTGGCAGAGAGATATTTCTAAATTTGTCTGGCAGGGCAAGAAGCCTAGAATAAAATTTAAAATATTAACAGATGCAAAGGAAAGAGGTGGATTTGCCCTGCCAGACCTTAAACTTTACTATGAATCAGCAGCTTTCTGCTGGTTGAAAGAATAGTTGCTTCTTGAAAACACTGACATTTTGGATTTAGAAGGTTTTAACAATGAATTTGGATGGCATGCATATCTGTGGTATGATAAGGTCAAAGCACATAAAGCATTTAAAAATCACATCGTCAGGAAAGCATTGTTTAATGTCTGGATAAGATACAAGGACTTATTGGAAAATAAAACTCCAAGGTGGCTGTCACCGATGGAAGCAAAAGCTCTGAAAAAGCTCAATATGGAGGCCAAATGGCCGAAATATTGGGAAATTTTGGAACAGGATGGAGATAGACTGAAATTGCAGAGTTTTGAGAAATTAAAAACAAAGTGCGAGACTGGCTTCATTATTATCAGATAATGGAGGCATATAATTTGGACAAGAAAATTGGTTTCCAGGTGGAAAAATCAAAATTAGAAACAGAACTATTAGAACCCAAAACTAAGATTTTGTCAAAGATGTATAACTTGCTGTTGAAATGGAATACTCAGGATGAAACGGTGAAATCTGCTATGATTAAATGGGCACAAGATGTTGGTCATAACATAATGATGGCTGACTGGGAACAGTTATGGACCACAGGTATGAAGTTTACGGCATGTAATGCCCTAAGAGAGAATATTATGAAAATGATTTACAGGTGGTCCATGACCCCAGTCAAGCTTGCAAAAATCTATCATTTGCCCGATAATAAATGTTGGAAATGTAAAGAAACTGAAGGTACATTCTTTCACCTTTGGTGGACGTGCCCAAGGATTAAGGCTTTCTGGGAAATGATATATAATGAACTGAAAAAGGTATTTAAATATACCTTCTTGAAGAAACCAGAGGCCTTTCTCCTAGGCATAGTCGGTCAATTGGTGCCAAAGAAGGATAGAACCTTTTTTATGTATGCCACAACAGCAGCAAGAATACTCATTGCAAAGTATTGGAAGACACAAGATCTACCCACTCTGGAAGAATGGCAGATGAAGCTGATGGACTATATGGAACTGGCAGAAATGACTGGCAGAATCCGAGACCAGGGAGAAGAGTCGGTGGAAGAAGATTGGAAGAAGTTCAAAGATTACCTACAGAAATACTGTAAAATTAATGAATGTTAGAACGATGTTGGATAGAAATTAAGTGGTTTCTAGCTGTAATGCTTTAAGGGAATATGAAAAAGTGGTTGTTAAGAGGTAAAAATCTAACGTTACTATTTTAAGACCAAAGAGTAGGATAAATAAAGAGGGTAAGGATTTGCTGAACCAACAAACTGAACTGGAATACAAAAAAGGGAGGTATGAGGAGGTCCAGGAAACAAGTTAAAGAAAAATAAGCAATGGAAAATCTGAGTGTTTTTAATCATTTTTATTTTGTATTTTTTTTTCTTTTTCATTTTTTATTGTAATATTTTAAAAAATCCTAATAAATATCTTATAAAAAAAAAAGGTACCACTGTAAATATTATTGGGGGCGGGGGGGGGGGAGAAAGAGCCAAGGAGGACAGACTTCTCCTTCAACCTGTTTCAGAGACCGGAGTCGCAAATGTATCACAAGGCTTTTAAATAAAGACAGTGCAATTTCTTAAAAGTGGCAGGAAGGGAAATGGAGGACTTGTTTGCTTGCTGGTTATTATTCCCTAAACTGGTTTTGATGCTTTTCTAGCACAAACATACTTCATCATCCCATTTAAAAGAGAAGTTACCATAGCAACTTCTTAAATCACCTTGTATTCTACACTCGATACCAATCAGACTTAACGACATCTTAAGAGGAGGGAGAGGGAGTGAAGAAGTGTGCATGCATACACTTGCAGCAAACAGGGGTCTTCTGTAAAATGCAATGGCTCCGAAATAAGTGGATATATAATATTTGCACTAGTCCATCATTGTGCTGTTCCCACTGGCTGCTTCCCCAGGTTCTAGAGGCAGGGGCGGGGGAAGGAGGGGGCAGAAAGAAAAAATAGGGACTCATGTCTGTAGTAAATTATTTGGGGGGGCTAAGGGGGAGGACATCTCTGTGTGCAACAGTTTTAGTCCTCTTGTGATGCAGGGAGGAGAGAGAAAGGAGGAAGTGGGGAAGGGGTAGGTGGAATTGGGGGTGGGGAATAAATGTGGCATTTGGAGGGAAAAGGAAGAGGTAGGAAGGTAGATGCGAGTGTGTGACAGTTTCAGGGCTCTGATGACAGAAAGGAAGAAAGCTGGAGAGGAGGAAGAATTGGGGAGCAGGCAAGTGGAAGTGGATAGGATTAAAAGGAGCATTTGCAGTGTGGTGGAGTAAGAAGAGGCAATGGGAGAAATGAAGGGGAATATGTCAGTGTTACTCCCTTCTCACTGTACTCAAATGTCTCCCTCTTCCATTCTTCAGCTGCCTCATCAGAGATAAAGGATGCAGAGCCCTCATACATTTCATAGTAACTTCACACAGTGTATTTCACTCCTGGGGCCATGGGTTGTCTTCTACAAGATGTTCCAGATTCCATGCAGTAGTGTAGAACAGATATTTCATTAACAAGCAAACATATGTGTATAGCATCCGCCAACTGAATTTAATAGTCTCTAACTGAACAAGCTTGCTCTTCAGATTCTGTTTACCTTATAGATAGAGTAATGGGTTATCCTGGGGGGCTTGTGTACAAAGGGGACTGCAGAACAGGAGAGAAGATGAGGCATGGGAATGAGCGCAAAGAAGAAAGGAAGGGGAAAAGCAGGAGAGGTGAAAAGAAGAGATTTCCTTCTTTGGTGCTGATAAAATTGCATCTGAAAATTGACAATATTTTTGCAACATAATATTTCCTGGTGGCAAATGAATTACCTATCATGTTTGGGCCTATAGTTTCCATTGGTAAAAATAGTGCATCAAAGTTTCTGTTGGACTGCCAATATGCCCTCATTTCGGGGATATAAATCCAAGGTCTCCTCCTTCAAGCCTCTTTGTTGACGTGAAGGAGCATTAAATCATCAGTTCATCCTTTCCTCGTTCTCCTTTAGTGACAAATTCAGGATACTTATCGCTCAGGACCATGACTTCAGGATACTTATCGCTCAGCACATTCTGACACAACCGAGTAATACGTCAGCAAATTAGGTCGCAGTTGTGGGGCTCTGTCTCCTTTAGAAGCTCAAACCTCATAAATATACTTTCCCCGAGTGCCTCTGTCTCAAAAATGGAAGACCGTTGCAAATAACCACACCTGCACAGTTACTTGCTCAGCATTCCGTTCCATTTGTGAACTACCACATTTAGCATCTCTAGTCCCCTGTGAATCAAAAGGTAATAAATCATTTCCAGTCCCAATGCCCAGCGCTGATGTGCTGTTCCAATGCTGGCGCAATTAAACTTTAAAAATCCCTTTATCAAGCCCATCTTGAATATAAACAAACACCACCTGCTTCACATCAGAATATACACTATAGAAATCTACAAGGTCAACTCTATAGACGCTACCCAGCCAGGCAACCTATCTATTGTATCCATCACAGTTCAGGACTGCCTACAAAAGTGAACATGGCATTTGGGTTGTTTGCCCTCTCATTCAACATCATGAGAAGCGAACTTCCATCAACTTGTAGCCATGCTTGCTGATACTGAAAGCTCAGTCAAATGACGGTATTTGTAGCTTACTCTTCTCCAAGAAGCTCAGAGTCCCATACATGGGCTTTTCTTTATCGTCACAGCATCCACGTGGGGTAGATTGGTCTGAGAGCTAGTGACTGGCCCAATGATTCTCCTGACAAACCACCAACATTTCTTAAAGCCTGCCACTTACTATATTCCCGAAACAATGGCTCCGGTGTCAAAATTAGTATGGGCTGAATGAGCCAGGCTGCAGGTGATTCTGGCACAGTCAAATTGAACAAAACCTTGATTACTGCCAACATTTGTTCACCAGCCAATCAAGACAAGATCTACACAGATGAAACCACAACACTTGAGTGGGGCTACGCAAACTAGCCCCATCCACTGGTATTTATGGAGGAATCTTCACTACATTCGCACTACACACAGACAACCACCCAACCAACCAACCACCCAACCATGAAGTGGTTTTGCGTGCGTAGGGTTAGTATATTTTCCCATTCTACTGAATATAATTTGCAGCTTATGTCATCTGTATTATCTGCTGAAGAAATAACATCGAGATGAATGGGGGGGAAGAGCACCTCACAACTTCTTGGATCAAAGAGAAGAAACATTTGTCAAAACTAACAAGTGAATACCTCCTTTAATCTCAGGAAACCCAATTAAGGCTCTTCTTCACCATTTATTTGTGGTGGTGGAAAACTATATTCCACACACATCAGTAGTGTTCTTTTTCACTGAGAGATTAACCCTGGATTCCATTGGAAAGACCTCTCAGGATGGCTAACAAAAATAAGACAACATAATACAGGCAATCCCCTGACTGGTGATGGGGCTGCATTTTGGGTCACTGCACACAGTGATGGAGCATGTATAAGCCTGCTCCACCCCACCCCCCTTTTCCAGCCACTTCAGAGTCACTGCGATGCACGTGTGTGTGGTTGCACATCAGTTGAGCGTGCATAAATCGGTTGTTGCCTGTAATACAATTTAAAAACATGTCAGCCAAAAGAGAACATTAACAAGTTTCCAAAGGAGAACAGTAAAAAGCAGCCTAAAGAGAATGAAATCACATCATGAAAAAAGCATCAGCTAGAACTATATAATCAACTTTCACCCACAGAAAGAACGATGTCTTCACAGTACACCAGAAGTCAAGAAGAGCTGATGGACACAACTGCTATGTAATTGTAATATGGAGTCATTTGCAAGAAATCAAAGGACAAAGTTGAGCTTGTTTCATCTACTGACAGCACAAAAAAATAATAAATGTCAGAAGATTTATTGCCCTGCAGTTGTTAAACAAGTCGTAGCCAATAACTGGTTCACTGAAATTAACTTTGACTGGAATCCTGCCTGGGGGTAAAGTTCCATTGAGTTCAATGACACTTATTTCTGAGAAGACCTATGTAGGATTGTGCTGTTACTGTATTAAGTAGAGGGGATGAATTTGAATCAACTAATGTGTGTTGCATTTTAAAATGTACAAATTGTGACATTTATTATAGTAAGAATCAGTTCTGCAGGTCACATTATTTAACACATGTGATGGAATAATTTTCATTTATGTGTAGGTCTTTTTTCGAAGTGCATTTCTACTGAAATGGATATTAAAATTATAAATCGAATTATGGGTGAGAAATATGCTATCCTTTGAGAGCTGCTTTTTAGAAACAGCCACCCTGGTGAAATAACTTTCTTATGACCTAGAAACAGTGCTTTTTTCTATTAAAAAATGTTTAGGGGTGCTCTCATTTTGACTCAAGAAAATCACCATAAATGGACAAAAGTACATAAGTGGACAAAAGTACAAAGATTCACAAAGTGTTCAAGTGTATACGTACCTCTGCATCTATTTCCCCCCCCCCAGAAAAAAATCACTGCCTAGAAACATGCTACCTTCCAACAGGAGAAAGCCTATCAAGCAATAATCTTTGCCAGGCCCTATGCAAATTAGTAAGAGACAGAATGCCTGGCTTCCAGGGTGTAGAGATTAAAATTGAAATCTGGCAATATAGTGCTTGCCCCATCCATCAAGTTAGATATTGCAAGGAACAATATACTGTATTTTTTGCTCTATAAGACTCACTTTTTCCTTCCTAAAAAGTAAGGGGAAATGTGTGTGCGTCTTATGAAGCAAATGCAGGCTGCGCAGCTATCCTAGGAGCCAGAACAGCAAGAGGGATCGCTGCTTTCTCTGCTCAGCGATCCCTCTTGTTGTTCTGGCTTCTGAGATTCAGAATATTTTTTTTCTTGTTTTTCTCCTCCAAAAACTAGGTGCGTCTTATGGTCTGGTGCGTTTTATAGAGCGAAAAATACAGTAAATACACCCACATTGCTTTAACTAGTGAGTGTGAACTATAATACTACTTGGTATTATATACATATAATACACAAGAAAGAAAGCAAAGAAAAAAGTGTAACTAGGTGGCAAAGAAGAAGGTACTGCTTTCTCAGAGATTCAGGCAACAAAAAGAAATGTGTGCTCTGGGAAAGAGATATTTATGAGCTTGTAATGTCAGCTTGCTCATTAGGAAGGGTAAGAAATAGATCAAGAGAGATGACAATACTTGGCTCTACATCAAATAAGGTGAGAGAGGCCCTGCCTAGCTGTGTGTTTACTTTCTGTATAATGTATTATTGATGCACTCCAAAAACTAAAGTGTGATATGTTTAGTAACACAAATCTGGGGCAGTTGAATTTAGGGCACTTCGCTCCTTCAGGCATGCTTGCATTCCAAAGTCTTTAAAGCAGGAGGGGAAAACAGTGGCTGCCCTGATGTTCTGGACACATCTCCCATCATTGTTACCATTAATTATTACTATTACTATTACTATCCATTGCAAGGTGGCTTACAACTATTAAAAAACAATGTGAAAATCAGTTTAAAACAACTTATGATCACAGAAATAAGCGGGGTGGGGGGAGGTCCTGAAAAGATACATTGCAGGCATCTATCAACAGCCAAGGTGAAGAGGTGCAAGATGCACCTCTGTGGGGAGGGAGTTCTACAACTTAGGGGTTGCCACACAAAATGCCCTCTCTCAAGTTGCTGTTCCATGAGCTTCTGAGGATGGTGAAACCAAGAGATCTCCACTGATCTTGACATTCAAAGAGGTCTGCAGGGAAGTAGGTAGTCTTTCAGGTATTTGGGGCCTTAGTCATTTAGGTCTTCAAACCCTAATGTGACCACCTTGAATTGGGTCTGGAACCAAACTGGGAACCAGTGCAGCTTTTAAAATGGGGGCTATGTGAGATCTAAATGGAATCCCAGCCAGTAATCTGACTACTGGATTTTGGACAAGTTGATGTTTCTGAATCATCAAGAGTAGAAAACACAGCGCAGCCCTTACAGGGCACAATATATATATATATATATATATATATATATATGTCATTCCCCTCCTTCTCCCTCCTAAAACATCTTCCTTGATGTCTCAATAGCGTTTCAAAGCTGTTTCCAGGCTGTTGCTACTGGTGGTGGTACCCCCTGCAAAGTATCATTTTGCTGAATTTCCCAATTCTTTCTGCTGCAATGGACCCCCCCCCCCAAAAAAAAACCCCAGGCTTTTAAAAATACATTTGGCATTTCTTTGAAGAATACTCTTCTGTCAGCAGCATAATACCTCTTTGGGAATAATTCAGTAAACTGAGCTCTGCACAGAGACCTGCTAGATCACAGCCCCCCCCCCATCTCATTAAGACAAAAAAGCACATGATAACAATTCTTTTTGTCATTTCAGAATGCGGGTAGAGAATCATATGAATTCCCAAGAACAAGCAAGTTCAAGTAACACCTACATTAGCCAAACGGGTGACAAGAACATTGCTGCCACTGTACTGAGTTTGGATTGCTGTTTACTCACAGCAAATAAGGCGTGTAATGGCTCTCCCACCATTTCAGATCAACTGTGCAAACATTAGTACAAATCATCCACGTCAGCACTTGAATGGGCTAACAGATAGTGATAGTACCAATATCCAGTTTATGGCATTATTCAGCATGAATCTACATAATCTCTAAATAAGCCCACAAACATGCATAGTCATTCCATTGTTACTTAAGAACATGATCTCACTCAATAGGGAAATTAAACGTGAATAGATTTTTTTTGGGGGGGGAGGTGCTGAAGAATCACACAAAGAATCAGTCTTGATAGAGAAATGTGGGACAGAGGCAAATGACTCAATAGCAAGGCTTGGAAAGAATTTCAGAAGGTTGACACTATGAATACATTGTACCGCTAACAAATGCAACACAGAAGGCTGCTTATTCAATACGCCACGTTCTGTCAGATATCAAATAGCTCCTGTGAGCTACTCATGTGTTTGCATACATTTATCCATATTACACAAAAACATGGAATGAAGCATGGAAGAGGAAGTGCATGTGCACTGGAGTCACACTACCATTTGAAATGAGCGTGGAATAGTCTGTATGGGGGTCACAGTATACTTAGATATGTACGTGTGTATGTACACACACACACACACACACACACACACACATTTTGTGTTGGAGGTACCCCTCCTTCCAGGCTCATGGAGATCAACAAGTATATTAGTATGTTAGAAGATTATCAAGTAAAATAGAAGATGCAAACAACCCACACAATTGTTAACACCATGTGCAGGTCTACACGCAATAGAATGCCTATTTGCCAGGTGGACTAGATGAGCCTCGAAATCCCTTCCAATGCTGCAATTCTACAATTCTATGATCTCAACTACATTGCTTGACTGTAGCTTGCTCTTACAACAATTCACTTGTCTCAATGTGCAAGAAAGAGAAACACACACAGTGGAAGTGGAGATTGTATTAATTACGGACTATGGCAGAGGTTTTTAAACTGTGGCCACCAACCCAGTGCCCAGAAATCTCCATGTAGTTGCAACTGGACCCACGACACTAGCAAAATGTGCCTGAGTAATTCTGAACACTGCCTAGAACTGGTTTATTTGTCTCCCTGCCTGGTTTCTTTGTTTCTCTCAAGTTATGAGGAAACCATGGTTTATTCTTGGCTCACTTTTTCTTGGCTCCAGGCAGAGTGGAGCAAAGTGGGAGTGATCAAATAAGCAGTACACTAGTAAAAAAAAAAAAGGTAAAAGGTAAAGGACCCATGACAGTTAAGTCCAGTTGCAGACGACTCTGGGGTTGCGGCGCTCATCTCACTTTACAGGCCGAGGGAGCCGGTGTTTGTACGCAGACAGTTTTTCCGGGTCATGTGGCCAGCATGACTAAGCCGCTTCTGGCGCAACAGAACACTGAAACCAGAGCAGCACATGGAAATGCCATTTACCTTCCCACCGGAGCAGTACCTATTTGTCTACTTGCACTCTGACGTGCTTTCGAACTGCTAGGTTGGCAGGACCGAGCAACAGGAGCTCACCCCGTCGCGGGGATTCAAACCGTCGACCTTCTGATTGGCAAGCCCAAGAGGCTCAGTGCTTTAGACCACTAGTACATGCTGCCAATGCTAAGCCATGATTTATTGCTTACAGCAGGAGTGGGGAACCTGTGGCCTTCCAGATGCTGAGGACTACAACTCCCATCATCCCTGACCATTGGACAAGTTGGCTGGGGCTGATGGGGGTTGCAGTCCAGCAACATTTGGAGGGTCCCTACCCATTATTGCATAAACTTACATGGATATTCAGATGTTAGGACACTGGTTCTTCCCCAGAGTACCCAGACATTTCAATCTGCACAATAACCCCAACCTTTAAGTGCATAGGCAGCATACTTCCAATAATTTCCATGAGAGAACAAAACTATCATTCCTGCCCCGACAAGCTGTCATACTAGCCCCCATCTTACAAGCTGTATTTGTAGGATTTGAGCACAGCAGCAATTGTAGCGAGGTCCTGACAAATCAAGTCTACAAGATGTCCATCACAGGATGCTTCCAGAGCCCCCATCAAGCATGACCTTTTGCTTTATGTCTTTTCTATTTATGTCAAACCCTTTTCCTTACCCAAAGATGTCAGAGCACAAAGGAAAGTTATCTTCAGAAAACCTTCCTGAATGCGACTTTATTAAAAAGTCTCTGCACTGCAAAAGAAGTGAAGGAGACCTAGCCCACAGAAAAGAAGCATACGACAACAGAATGAGGTTTTTGCCCTTCATATGGATATTTAAACACAGTGCATCTGCACTATTTTCCACAAAACTGACACTTAATCACAAAATGAAGCATTCGCTGAGCTTCCTTCCCTGTTTTCCTCCTGAAAAGGTTAAAAGTAGCAATTACTTAACATGCATTTTTGTTTAAAATACTATCAAAAAACAAAGAGGGAATTCAAAAAGTCACATAAAGGTAGATTCAAGAATGTCAATTAAAAGGTTAATTACCCGGTATGTAATTATAAATATGGCACTTAATTGGAATATCCCTGACTTTGTTAAGTCAATTGGGGGGGGGCAGGTAGTGGTAACATATTTTATTTGCTTGTTTAATTGTTCTGCTTGCAGATCAGATCCATAAGTGTATCACCACCTCTAACACAAGCACTCCTCTTAAAGATGGCAACCTTAGTTACCATTCAATGAATGGCTTTGCTCGCTATGATAAAAACACCTTTTTTCTTGTAGCCTTGCCTCTACAGCTTCAACCTGCAAACAGTTAGTAGCGAGAGTGCCTAATTCATCTGAATCACAAGTCTTTCATCTAGAAAATTGTTGAGTGGGAGGGATGCTGCTCATCCAAAGTAAATCCATCCACACACATCAACTCATTAATATCTTTGATTTTTAAAATCATGCCTTACTGGCTCTCTGTTTAATTATTGTCTTCAGCGTTTCCCAAATTGTGTTTCACATCACCTTTGGTTTGTCACTGTTCAGCGATAATGTGGTACAACTGGGACCGGCAACAAAACGTTGTGGTGTATCACCACCTCTAACACAAGCACTCCTCTTAAAGATGGCAGCCGACCTTGCCCTTCCCAGGACACAAGAGCCACTGTAAATAAGCAGAGGGCCTGTCAAATGGCAGTTAACACTGGACTAAGGTAAAGGTAAAGGGACCCCTGACCATTAGGTCCAGTCGTGACCGACTCTGGGGTTGCGCGCTCATATGGCTCTATAGGCCGAGGGAGCCGGCATTTGTCCACAGACAGCTTCCGGGTCATGTGGCCAGCATGACTAAGCCACTTCTGGCGAACCAGAGCAGCACACGGAAATGCCGTTTACCTTCCCGCCGTTCGGTCCCTATTTATCTACTTGCACTTTGACGTGCTTTCACACTGGGCTAGGTCCCCAAATAATCTCATTGTGCAGATTCAGTGGGTAGAATAAAAGGACAATTGGTAGATCTGAGGGCTATAACAACATCCTTCTAGTAGCAGGGGTAGCAAATATGGCACACTCTTGATGTCGCTGGATTACAACTCTTATCCCAGACCACTGGCCATGTTGGATAAGGCTGATGGGGGTTCAACTCCACCACATCCAGAAGCAACCATGTTGGTTACCACAGATAAACAACCATTTACAAACACATACACACATGCACACGCACGCACACACACACACACACACACACACTAAACCTGTTCTGCAGTTTTCTCACAGTACATACCTGTATCTTTCTTCCTACTCTCCAATCTTCAATACTCCCCATAAGGTTTGGTGTGGCAAGGTTAACCTAAAGTGGAACTACAATAAAACCATCTTGATCTGAGTCCCAGTCAGTTTTCCAAGCACACCATTCTGCTGAAAGATTCTCTAAGACCAAGACAGACTCCAAAGACAACCTTAGTCTGCTGCGAGCAGAGGACCTGCTAACTCAGAGTTCCCATTTGTGCCAGGGTTAGGCCAGGAAATGAGACCTCCCCCCCCCCCCAAATATATGCAATATGGAACAGCATATATACTCATACTTTCTGCAGACTGCCAGAGTGGGGCAATCTTCTGTATCTGCAAGCATTATTGTTTCCCAAGCTCTTGCCATTGAAGATCAAAGGCTAAAACTAACAGAAATTAATAAGACTCACCTGGTTCATTCAGGCTTCTCCAGTGTTGCCCCCCCGCCCCCCACAAACTGAAGAGCCCTTCATACGTCCCTTTTATTTCACTGTAGTGCAAGAGTGACCCTCCACTAGACAGCAATAATGCAACAACTTTTGGGAAGCATCACAGAACTAATGAAGTTGCAAGAAATCCATCTTTAAGATACAGTACTTTGCTGATCGACATCAGTACTCTTTTCCGGTGCCTGTTTAAACCATTTTTGTTTATGCAAGCCTGAACAAAGACAAATAGATGTTGACGTGTTTTATCTCCTTCACTTTAATTATTTTCAGATGTTTTAAACTGTTTTCATTGACACTTCTAATATTTCTCATAAACCACTGAGAGGTCTTGCTACAATCAAATTGCATATAAAATCCAATTGAAAATTGAAAAATTATGTCTGGATGGTCCAGTATACATCCACCACAAATGCACTACAGTGGTACCTCGGGTTAAGAACTTAATTCGTTCCGGAGGTCCATTCTTAACCTGAAACTGTTCTTAACCTGAGGTACCACTTTAGCTAATGGGGCCTCCCGCTGCTGCTGCGCCACCACCTCACAATTTCTGTTCTCATCCTGAAGCAAAGTTCTTAACCCGAGGTACTACTTCTGGGTTAGTAGAGTCTGTAACCTGAAGCGTCTGTAACCCAACTGTATTACTGCATCACTGACATGTTCCAGAATATACCCACAAAAACAAACACAAAACTGGTCTGGATTCTCCTGGGTGGGCTCAAATCCCTGATGTAGGGCCAAATCTTTATAAATGCACTGAATCCAGCAATTTCCATTTCAGAAGCAGAAGTCATCAGACCGTGTCTTTCCCAAGGGAGCAGTGCTTGGCTAAGATAGGTGTCAGATATCCTCTCTTGCTGTTATTTTAGTGAATCAAGCTTAAGAAACACAAGGGTTGACCCAATTAATGTCTTCACTTTGACAAAAAAAATGTTTTACATTATTTATAAGCACCTAATGTTGTGTAGTAATTTTTTTTAAAATATAAAACTATTTGCAATCTAGCCAACAAGGGGCAAAATAAATGGGGCATGTGATGGCACAGGCTGTGGGGCAGAAAGAGGAAAAAAAGGGGTTTATTTATTAGAGCCCCATAAAAAAGTTATTGCCCTCCTTATTGTTGTTGCCTGTCAACAGGCTCCCTGCTTACTACAATAGCTTTTGAAAACTGACATCCAGCCTCCTCTCCATGGGAAATGTTTTTGTTCAAGTGCTTATTATATCTCACCTGAAGTGGGCTCCATGTTGCTGTAGCCTAATATGTAAGGATGCTTGACTTTTATACATAATGGTAAAGAAAAATGACTTATACATGAAGAGTCAGTCACTCAAGTATATGGCTAAAAGTGATTCTCCTACCTGCTTGCTGCATAAAACTCCTCATTAAAGGACTTAATAGTAAAGGCTTCACAAACAACCATCCATCAACCGCCATCTAGATACATAATGGACAGATTTATCATCCACCTCACAGCTGCCTTGCCACACATACTGTGTTTTAAGGAAGATGGATGCTCTCGCTAGATTCCTAAATCTATCAGCCTACATAAGCCCTTCTGCTAAAGACAACTATGATGAAAAAAGGATGAAGAAAATGAGAGGAAAAGCAGCACAGGAGGAGTTTCAAAGAGAACACTGACTTGTAGTTTTAAATGGTAGTACAGAGGAGGAAGGAAAATGGTAAAGATATGGAAATGGTTTTGGGGGAAATGTGGTATAATCTATTCAACCCATCTAAGTCCCACCCATTTCAGTGGAAAGAGTTTAATACCCATTTATCTCTCTCATTAAAATGCAATGGATTTAAGGATGCTTCACTTTGGGCGGATCATGCCCAATGTCCAAAACTAAAGGGAATTATGGAGCTGAAGATCTCTTGGCTATTATTTTTGCCTCTTTTTATTGGGTCTGACCCAAGAGCAACTAAGCTAAGCCTGTGGACTCATCTACAAAGCTGCAAATAAAACATTTTAAATGTGTTGTAAAGTGCAATATATGAATGAGACACCAGATGGTGAAAGTGAGTTATGCAAAATTCAATGCATTTTTCAAAATGTTTTCTTAAAGCATTTCCACAGCATTTTTTATATGTGTGTAGATTCCGTCTGTGTGAACAGTGACACTGAATCAGGCACCCAAGTATCTTCAAGCAGAGAGGAAGACCACAAATCAGTTATAAAGAAAACTTCTCAGGCCGCAGCACTGAACTTTATATTGCATTGCATTGACCTTGAGGCTGCTCTTTGGGTATCCCTGTTCCTCAGCCAGCAGAAATCACCCAACATTCAAAGAAAGTTCTTGTGCACAAGATTTTTCTACAAGTGTGTTGTTGGTTTTTGGAGTTTGCGGGGATGTAGGACACCTTCCACCAAAAGCTCTCCATTCTCCTATACTGTATCTCATTTAAGATCCTGAAGTACCTGCATATGGGCACCTCATTTTACTAATACAGATAATGATATGGTAGGAGCAAAACATTTCATCATTTCAACTATTTATGGAGTATACCCCACACCCCACATCTTCTATTCTGGCCAGGAAGTTTCATAGCTACTTTGGATATGAAAAAGGGGGTAGAGGAAGTATGAATCAGTTGCACTTCTCCCCCACCCACCCCACTACTTTTCAGAACTCTCTCTTTTACTATATATGTAAGTTCAAATGGCTACTTAATGCAGAAAATATAATACCACTATTAAAACATAAAAAGGGCATCTATGTCATGATTCTTGGCACCATAGCCCAGTGCTCTTCTGGTGACCCTAACATGGCAGAGTCTCTAAATGTTTCAAATACAGAGTGATTTCTCATACCTTTTATAGCTAGGATCCACAAAGCCATTAATTTATAGTGAAAATAAAAATTGGATGAGTCATTATTTCCAGATTAGTTGTGAATGTAGCTTTTTTTAAAGAGAGAGAGAGAATAAAAGAGGTCATCAGTTCACAGTCAAAACATAACCTGTCACAAATATTCCTTAGTGTCCTGTTCTGATACCTTGTTTGGATTAATAAACCTATGATAGTAGGATCACAAAGAATGAAATGAGAAGATCAGAAATGCTCTAGGTTTCTTAGGGAGAATTATAATCATTTACAACATTTTGCCAAGGCAAGGCAGAGAGAAATCACTGTTTGTTCAAGTTATGTATACCCATACCCACCCATTTCTGCCTCCAAATCTTTTTGAGCTTTCATACTCCAAGGTTAAGGGCAGAAAGTTTCTTAACTAATCAGGCAGAAATATAAATACAACATGTGTTCTAAGATGTGTGTTTTTGTACCTTTCCCAGAGTACACTGAAGTGTAGGCGGGTTCCCACGAGGCAAGACACAGTGGTAGCAGCAAGAACCTTTATTGAACTAACAGAACTAGACAACAGGAGCAAAGCAACTGCTTATACATTTCTGAAGGCCTGAGCCACTCCCACTCCCAACATGATTGGCTGTCTAGACTTCCACGCTGCAAATCATAACTCAGAGTTTAAGGGCCAATGGTAGAGGTCCAAATCCTGAATTGTTCTGTGATTGGATATCTGTGATTGTTCTGTGAATGAATCAGAACACAGGGGCTCAGAATCCAGACTCCAGACTCAAGCTCAGGCAAACACAGACCACTGAATACATAACATACACATGTTCATTCAAACACACAAAAGCGCCAGGCTGCTTCTGTAACTTTAGGGAACAAGATTCCACCGGTTTACATAAGTGTGGCCAGATCAGCAAGAGACACAATCCATCTTTCAGGCAGCCTTAAATAAATCCTAATAGCAGATTAGCAAAGAACTCCTATTTCCTCTGGAGACTTCATTAGCATGAGCTTTTACTGAACTCTCCCACTCCAGAGAAGCTATTTAAAAGACTGTGTGTTAAGAGCAAAAAAGAACAAGAACGCTGCTGCTGAATTTTTTATATTTGCTCTTCTCAGGGCACAAAAACAGCTGGCTGATATTTTAAAGAAACACTTATCTCAGAAAAGAAAGGTCTCTTTAGTATGTACAGATAACATGCCATTAAGCTTTATGTATTATATTACTCAGAGCCAATCGGGCTTGTCCTGAGTATCTCTGAATCAAAGGGCAAATTTCTGACTGTGCCTGCACAGAAGCAAGCGAAGACAGGGCGGAAATCCTACGTATTTTTGAGGAATTTTCTTTGACAACCTGACAAATCTGAGGAACGGACTTTTGACAAATTGATTGCAAAAGCCGCCACACACTGGTTACAACAAATACAAACAATGCTAGTTTGCTTTATTGCTGAACTGGGTGTGACAAGTTAGGCTAGAACCTTGATAAAAAATAACAGAAAAGATGTGATTAAGTTAGTTAAAAACAACAACACAACCCTGATTATTATAAAGACGAGAATATAATTTCCGCTCAGGAACCAAAAGGCAGATAAGCCCAAACTTATTATTTTAAAACTAATTATTTCTAAGCCAGCTCATGGCTTAAGAGGCTGATTCATTAGTTTTGAACATTGATAGTAAAGCTGGAACTCTCTGTTCTTCCATCTTGGAGGGGACACAACTGGTGGGAGTGTACTTTGAAACATGGAAGTAATTACACGGAAGTAATTGATTCTTGACTATGAAGAAATACCACTTAAGGCAAGCACTGCTGTACAAATATAAAAGGAAAACCCAGTATGAAGCACACAGAGAACAAACCTCTCTTTTAGGTAGTCATGTACATTTTAATGGGAAAAGTTTCAGCTGGTGGCAATAAAGTGTGCCTAACATGTGTTGAAATTGGCTGTGATCTTCCTAATTATGACTCATGATAGCCCACTGTGCTAAATTAGATTGTTCAGCTCATGAGTCTCAAGTAATTTCTGCATTTTTCACACAAGGGGGGTCGGGTAAGAGAGACAAACATAAAACAAAGAAAAGTCAACATGTTTTCATTAACTAAGGTTTCAACACATGAGTTTCAAATACCAGAATAATTGATAATAATATGCAAAAGGGACAGATGGTATCAGAAAAGATTTGGGAAGCCAGTTTCATATTTTGTACAATCCACCACAGTGCCCCTAATCTGGTAAAGTTGCCTATAAATCTTCCATCTATATGAACTAAACTCCAAATCTGAATTAAGGCTCCAATCCAGACAACTGCAAGACTGACTGTTTACTCAACAGTAAAGTTGTGTTTAATGGTGTTATTCTAGATAATTTTATGTATACAAACTTGTTCAATGGGGCTTACTCCTGGAAAGTGTGCCGGTAACAATGCATTGAACACAGAAAGACACTTGACGTTTATTCAAAAGTTTTGTTCTCTGAAGCTCCAATTCTAAAGCACTGAGCACAGTGGAACTCCCACGTAAACAAGAATAGTATTGTTTTGTCAATTCCACATGCTCAGCAAGTTATTCTGACCTTCTTTTTTAACAGCAGTGGTCACTGCCACCAGTCAACCCATATAGCAGACGGCAGAATTTCAGAGTCCATGATGTAGCCTGAAATGTGGTTGAATAAAATAACCGAAGTTCTGCCCAAGTCTCTAGGTGTACATTAAAGAACTGTATAGATTACAGACTCTACTTGCAGTTCTTATTTTCAAGGACACAGGGTAAGAAGCAGCAAGCGAGAAAGGACAATGGGTTGTATCCTACTCAAAGTAAACCCATTAAAATTAATGGACCCAAGTGAGAAAGTCTTAGTTTCAGTAGGTCTACTCTGATTGGATACAACCCAATTATTAAAAATTCCTGCCCTCGCCCGTTTTCTAATTTAAAAGAAAATAGGTTGAATCCAAACTATTTCAAGAAGAAGAAGAAACATTCACTCACTGGGACACTGAAACTCTAAGTTTTCCTCAAAGTTTCCAGTCCCACGAAGCATAAAGAAAAGTTTGCAAACTGGAGCCAAGTAGTGAACACTGTTAACAGCTCAAGAGCTTATAACATGATTTGAAATCCTCAACACTTATGCCTACAAAATTCAAGAGTGCAAAGCTTTAGTTTTATAGGCTTGAACACTGGAAAGCACTTTAGTGGAGATAGCAACGATGAACAAATGAACCACGACTGGTACTTGGTAGGCTCTCATCTCTCAGCCATTTGCTAACTAGCCACTTAAGGATATTATTGTTTCTTGTCCAGGTTAATCCATGTGAAAGATTGGAAAACTTGGGCTAGCTTCATGACTTTTGCTCCTCTGGCCAAATTGGTTAACACCAGTTCTACTGTCATCCAGGTCAGGCACTCAGGAGGCTCACAGGCAGGACTATGTGGAAGGAAATTATCCTCAACTAAAATAGCCCTAAGTCTCTTAGGGTTTTTAAAGGTTAAAACAAGCACCTTGAGTTGGACCCAGAAACTGACTGGAAGCCAGTGGACATGACAAAGTGTTTGAGTGTCCAAGCCCATTTGCTTTTCTTCCTCCCTACCAATTCCTTGTCCATTCATATACAGTGGTACCTTGGGTTAAGTACTTAATTCGTTCCGGAGGTCTGTTCTTAACCTGAAACTGTTCTTAACCTGAAGCTCCACTTTAGCTAATGGGGCCTCCCGCTGCTGCCGCTGGAGATGATTTCTGTTCTTATCCTGAAGCAAAGTTCTTAACCTGAAGCACTATTTCTGGGTTAGCAGAGCCTGTAACTTGAAGTGTATGTAACCCGAGGTACCACTGTATTGTCTTCTAGATTGTATGTATGAGCGTGAGGGCAAGAATGGTCTTATTACTGATATTTGTAAGGCTCTCCTTTGGCAGATGAGGTGGGGCAGCCAATAAATAGTATCAGAGAGACATTCCTAATGGATGTATCAAAAATACATTTGGGACCAAATGTCTGCACAATTCAGCATATTTCATTTGCATAAATCAGCAGCCCACAAGTTCAACTTCTGCTTCCTCTTGGGAAGAAGACAGCCACCACCAGCATGTCTGGTTTGTCTAGAGAAGAACTGGGAGAGAGACTGTGGGTGAGACGTCAGTGAATTATGACAAAATGAAAAAAGAACACATATTTAGGAATTTTTTTTTAAAAAAGGAAAAGGCACAAAAGCATCCTAGGCAATCTTGATATGCCAACTCTTTGCCTTTAACACAGGGGAAGAAAAATCACAGAATATCTAGGAAGTTTCAAAACCATCCAAGATAAGCAAAATGGATTTTTGCATGACAAATCCACCCAGACAAAACTGACACATTTCCCCGAGACAATCAAATTAGTAGGAACTGAGGAAGTGGTTGCTGTGTTGTATTTTCAGTTAAGCTTTTGATTCAGTGCCTTAAAAAACCCACTCTCTAAAGCTAATTCTAATCCGCTTGGCTACAAACTGCAGTCACATGGGCTGAAACCTGGCTGATGGGCTGCGATCACAAAGCAAAGTTTCAGAGTCATAGGATGCAGGAATCTCTCTTAAGGTTGAATAAATGCTTCTCTCTTTCCATTCCCCAGGTAGGACAAAAAGAGGAAATTTAACAAATGGCACAAAAGTGAGAAGTGAGAGGAGGCCGAGCGCTGTCATAAGAGGTAACAGATTTCAGAATTGAAAGCTCTGGAGAATTACCATGAGGTAAATAGATACCATGAGGTAAATAGGGAAATTAGAAAAGTGGAAGTTCAAAAGGTAATGGCTAATGAGTCTAAAGTACACTACATGTAAAAGCATTATTTTAGGAGATTATCACATGGAAGTGAACTACCTGAGTGCAGTGGCTTTAGGCGTTTAATAAAGCATGAAAAACAATCCTGCACCATCCACGTTTATCTTTTTGTGCCAGGCTTTTTAGGCATACGTCCACACTTTCCAAGTCTGCGTCTGAGCACTTCTTTTTTGCCCTGACATTTTCCACAGGAAAGTCCAATCTTTACTGCTGAATCAGAGCAAACGGCAATTCAGGTTTTCCATGGATTGCTCTTTGCACTGATTCAGCAGTAAAGAGTGGGTTTTCGTGGGGAAAATGGTGGGGCAAAAAGATAAAAATAAAAAGTACTTGGACCTGGAAATCCCAAATTTGTGCCTAGAAATGCTAAGCAATCACTGTAATTGGAACTCCAAGAGAAGGCGCTAGGATTGTTTTTACATTTCTCTATCTGTAGCTTTAATAAAGTTTTCTAGTTAGGAATTTCCCTAGTATTCAGAGGTATACAATTAAAAGCCAGTTCTGGTGAGAACAAGAACAAGGGGATGCACCGCGATACAGTGGTACCTCAGGTTACATACGCTTCAGGTTACATACGCTTCAGATTACAGACTCCGCTAACCCAGAAATAGTACCTCGGGTTAAGAACTTTGCTTCAGGATGAGAACAGAAATCACGCAGCGGCGGTGCGGCAGCAGCAGCAGGCCCCATTAGCTAAAGTGGTGCTTCAGGTAAGAACAGTTTCAGGTTAAGAACGGACCTCCGGAACGAATTAAGTACTTAACCAGAGGTACCACTGTAGTGAAAAAGTAAAGTGGGAATTCTTGAGTTTCTGTAAGTTACTTCTACATAAAAAGAAAAACTGAGTCATTCTGGAGAGTGATGGATGTTACGGAAAGAACTCTGGGGATTCTGAGGCTGCTTAGAAAGATCTGAAGAAGTTTTGTTTGAGTTCCCTCATGGTCCTAAAAGTCTCAACACTTCTTGTTAGAGAGGCATGACAGTCAAGCAGGTTAGCAGGTTGTCTTTGGTGAGGCATCAAGCAGAGACTTCTCTTTCTTAGTGGCCTGACTCTTGGGGGTCAGTAAGTCCGTAGAACAATTGGCTGATATCCTAGGTTTAGGATTTGTGGTTTCCAAGTACTGTACACACTCTGCTGTAGGGAAAACAGAGGGAATGGATAGTGGTAGGCTAAGCAGATCATCTTATGGAGGGTAAAAGACCAATGTTTCTGATGTCCAGGAAAAGAGGAAGGTGAACTTCTTTATGATAGTTTCAGGAATGCAGATGGACCATGAGGGTGCAGGGAGGACACCATCACAGTATTCCCTTGTCATTTCAGGTCAAGCTAAACATAGCCCATGTGTTTATAACCCGCGTGGTGGTAATTCAATCCTTCTGTAATTGGTTTAAATTGCAAGGAGGTTACGTTCAACATAGAATTGAAAAATCCTCCAAACCATAAGCTGCCAAGTATGCAAGCTGCCTGACATCGGTTTAAATTACTTTGTTAGGTTTCTAAGATGACAGCTAATCATTTAGGAGAATGCCATTACATAACCAGACATGGATGCATCCTGCCACATTCAGGATTATCAATCAAACCCCTGAAAAGATATTGGGTGATATTCAACAAAGTTTGACTCAAAGTAGACCCACTGAAATTTATGAACACAATGAACTTAGTTGAATACCAGTAACTGTATCTTTGCAAGTTCCTTTCTTTAAACCACTGTTTTGTGTTCCACATATATGAAGAGTTTTATAAACATCATACTATTTACAAGCTAGGTATTATTTCTAATACCATATGCACCTGCTCTTAGGCAAAAATGCTGTACCTGATAACCAACCAGTAAAGGAAAACCAAAGTGCAAATGTATGGCAAAGTATTAATCCACATCACAAAAGGGCGTAAAAGCAGCCATGCATTTAACTATAGCACAACAACAGAAAGCTATGGATAGACATAGATGTGACAAGCCCCCCCCCCCCCGCAGAAAGCATTTGCACATTAAGGTGTTTCATATCACAGTCATTTCATTCAACAGATGCTCCCCGCAATACACTGGGACATTTGCATGCCATGTGAGCGCACCAGTGATCTGCAAGCTCCAAGGCAAATCAGCAGCCACATGAGAATGGCCCAGTAAGCACCAGTTAAATGAGACAGCAGATACATGGAATGTCTAGCAGGTAAATGCTTTTGATATTTCAATCACACCTCACTGGAAGGATTCTAGAGAACAAAAAAGATTATGCTTTTAGAGATTCACTGCAGGTGAATATTGGAAGACTATCATTGCTTTTTTCAAATGCAAACGTTATTGCAATAATCCATTTTGTGAAAGCAGGGGTTGCGATTTTAATATGAGACAACAGAACTGCCACTAAAAGTCTTGACACCATAATAGTAGTGGCAGAACTCTTCAGGTCTACACTTCATTGGTAATCCAGACCACTCTTTGATCTCCAAGCGCCCCTAGTGATCAGCAACCTAGCACAGCCAGTTAGGAAAATATTCAGTCTTATTAGTAAAAGGTAAAGGGATCCCTGTCCATTAGGTCCAGTCGTTGCCGACTCTGGGGTTGCGGCGCTCATCTCGCTTTATTGGCCAAGGGAGCCAGCGTACAGCTTCCGGGTCATGTGGCCAGCAGGACTAAGCCGCTTCTGGCAAACCAGAGCAGCGCACGGAAACGCCGTTTACCTTCCCGCCGGAGCGGTACCTATTTATCTACTTGCACTTTGACGTGCTTTCTTTCGAACTGCTAGGTTGGCAGGAGCAGGGACCGACCAAGTATCCTGAAGCTAATGCCTGAAAAAGAACTTGAAAGGTTCCGGTGCTTTTCAGTCTTTAAAACATTGTCATATTGAACAATGAACAGCAGTTCACACAGGTTGCAAGGCAAACAGGAAGAAAGTGGGTTTCGTGGAGACTATGTAACCTCTGCACTTTTTGGTAGGCAATAATTACCCTCCCCTCAAAACATTATACATTTTAATTGAAATATTTATAAACCACACTTACATAAAAAATAACAAGACTGTGTACCACATAAAAACACAATATTACAACAACAGCAACAGCTTAGTAAAAGTAAGTAAGTAAGTAAGTAAGTATCAAACACAACCCAGGTTTAGTTTTTTAATTTGTATACTGCCCTTCATCTGAAGATATCAGGGTGGTTTACAACATAAAAAAAACAAAAGGAGAACACAAAGTACGTAACAAAAAAACCAAACAAACCAGTTGCCCGACAAACACACTTAAAAGGCCATATATTGTTTAATCAGCCAAAAGCTTGGTTATAGAGAAAAGTTTTCACTTGGTGCCCAAAGATAGGCAAATTAATAAATGCTTTAACCTTTTACAGGGTTAAATGAGCAAGTTCTAAATAAGTCAGGACAAACCTCTGTGACTGTGATGTATCAGGAGCTCCTTTTAAAAGTGCATATGTCTGTACTTCAAGTGAAAATTCAAAAGAAACATTTCCCCATTGCTGTAACTCAATGCAAGAGAAGCTGCACCCCCTGAATTGCTGCCTGGGCCCATGGCAGTAAAAAAATAATGCCAAACATAGTCACCACGTGGAGATACCAGAAGAGAAAGATAAGCTTGTTGTACTTTGGAGATTACAACTCAATAATCCCACTGTGTAAGCCACAACAGTTTTGAATTGCTGCAATAAAATCTATTTTTGAAGAGTATGAATCACTCACTTTATTACTGTCAATGACCAGGATCCAGTTTTTAAAGATTACATGCTGCGGGTGCAAAGGCTCCTGACAGTGAATAACAGCCCTACATCCTCCCCACTACCCTTTTCAGTGTGCACACTTTAAGTAGTGATGATTGAATTTCCATACCGCTTAACATAATAAAAATATCTCTAAGTGGGGTACAAAAAAACTGAAGCAACAACAGAAAACTTAAACAGAACAGTATGAAAATACACAGTTACATATAAAAATGGTACATTGATACAAAGTTACTAATATACTGTATACAAATTCATTTTCCTTCTAACAAACCCTTCCTCTCAGTCTCGGGTTCTCACTCAGCATTCAAACAAACTCAGCTCACCCACAAAAGTCTCACAATGGAAAGAGATCTTGGAAACAGCAGACATCACCCTAGACTCTCACTCTAGACTTGTGTTTTATGGAGGGAAAGTGTTGTACACTTTCCAGATCCCCATCCAGCCCTCCTCTTCCTCTTCCTCCTCCCACTCAGTCATGGAACTTGAGCTAGAAGTCTCCTTTCCTGTAATGGTCTGGGGCACTGAGTGCCCATAAGTGAGGGGAAAGGGGGAAAGTGGGAAGGGGAAACATTATGCCCTACGGGGATCCGCCCAAGGACGTTGCACCCACAGTGAGCTGGAGCAAATCCACTGTGCTGTTTTATTGCTGTAATTCAACAAACCACTGGAGATTACAGTACTTTATGTACTTTTGCTGCCTTTGCTGTGCATAGAACTGAAGACCTACGTGACTTGCAACTGATAAAACATCTAGTAGTTAATTATGATATCACTGCAACTTTCACGGGGGGGAAACACTAATTATGATCAATACGTTGCTGAGCAAACAATTCTTTCCTTCCCGAGCTGTTTTCAAAAGGAGTTTCTGAGCATGTATTTGCCAGACACAGCAAGGAAGGCCTGTGTGCAGAAGCAGACTAATCTCTCTGTGTGTGCACCCATCAGGGTGGATTTGTGTTTCAACTTGCTATTTCATATTTTTTGCAATCCATGAATTACCTAAAGAAGAACGCGTTCTAATTGGCTGCAGAAATAATCCACACATACAAGGGGCCTGCGACAAAATGTAGCCATATGGAATGTTCAGGGTTCCAACAACGCCCTCCCAAAAGATATTCCATTCTGCCCTCCCCCCATGTTTCCAAACACCCCCCAAAAAAGTCATGGCCACCAAGCACACTCAGTTCTCACTGTGCTTCTTTTGGGGTTCACTATTACAGTGGTACCTCGGGTTAAGTACTTAATTCGTTCGTTCTTAACCTGAAACTGTTCTTAATCTGAAGCACCACTTTAGCTAATGGGGCCTCCTGCTGCTGCCGCCGGAGCCCGATTTCTGTTCTTATCCTGAAGCAAAGTTCTTAACCTGAAGCACTATTTCTGGGTTAGCACAGTCTGTAACCTGAAGTGTATGTAACCTGAGGTACCACTGTAGTTCATACAGTGATTAGCTGAGGCCATTTTGGCACCAGATCTTGGAACAGAACAGGAGAAATACGGTATAGTAAGGAGGAAGTGGAACACTTACCGTAAGCAATCATGAACTGCCTCTTTTTTTCTTTTTTGCAACTCATTAATAGAACTAGCTCCCCGTCTGGGATAAGGGTTAAGAGTTTCCAGGGCAGAAGGTGATGCACAACCAGCATCTCTCCTAATTACAGTATTTGACCAGCTTTAGAAAATATTGTGAACAAACCAAAGCTTTCGTTCCTAAGCTACTGGGCGACCAGCTTAGCTCATCCTGTTAGTATTTATGGCAATCACTCTTCTTCTCTCCAGATGCACACTGTTCAGCTGGCAACTCGGCATGTCAAAATAATTACGTCTTCATATCAGCTACCTACTTGCCTTCAAGGCTAAGGGAGGCTGTGCCAGTAGCAGGTTTATCAGTGCTTGTTGCAACAGCTCTGCCCCACCTCCAAGAACACCTCCACTAAAGTGCTATTAGCACTATCCTTTGAAAATACATCATTTTGTCTGACACACATGAAAGTCACCTGGAAGAGCACCTCATCAGTGCAACCAAGTGTGAGATGGCAGAAACTGGGTGCAGGACATATTTTTTAAAAGCATGAAACATGGAGGGCTGTGAAACAGCCAATGTTTTGACCCTTACCCTTGGCTGCAGCATTGCCAGGATCTCCCCACAACCAGCAGCCTGTCCCAGCAGGGCTTGGGATAGGATTGACTGAATATAGAAGATGGGAAAGGAAGCACAAGAACATCCTGCCTTAGAGCCTAAGAGCCCCAGCTTGGTAATCCTTGTTTATGATCTTGGAAGGCAAAAAGCTATCACCACCTCTATACTGAATATTTAATGCAGGCACTGTAACCACCTTGAAGAAGTTTGGGTGGCCCACAGTTTGGGAACCTGTGTTTTCTGACTACCTAATCACACTGAGCAACACTCCTCTTTTGCAAATAAATAGGAAAATGCCTATTACAGAAATAGAGCTACAAGGCTCACAGAAACATGCCAAATTATCACAGGAGCATTATGAGTATATAAACTTTTTTTTTACTCCAGAAGCGGTAACAGGAACAGACAATTCTCTAGGGGCAGTGGATTGGAAGAGGGCTACTGATGGCACAATCCGATGCATATCTCAGAAGGAACATGGGAAGCTGCCTTACACTGACCCAGAACACTGGTCCATCTAGTTCAGTATTGTTTACACTGACTGGCAGCAGCTTCCCAGCATTTCAAGCAAGGTTCTCTCCCAGCCCTTACCTGGCGATGTCAGACTCAACCTGAGGCCTTCTGTATATAAGGCAGATTCTGTGGCGCTTCCAAGTTCAACGGGACTTACTAAGCAGTAAGTGTGTACAAGATTGCAGTCCTGAATTGCCCACCTGCTGGCTGGGGAGTGCGGGCACTTGTTGATATTTACACCTGCAGATATAATCCCTCCACTAGCTAGAAAACACACACACACGTACATATACATATACACCAGATTCTTGTCCGCTTCCTATCACGAATCACCAACATTCACACGTGCGCACAACTTGGGCAAAGGAGACTTTCAAGAGCAGGTATCAAACAGCACCAGGACGTGCTTGAAGCAAAAGTGGGGACAGCCCCTCACCCAATTTGCTCCTGTACCAAACTCCCACGCTTTTGAGAAGAAAAAGCAAGTTCGATACCTTCCCACTTTCACCCCCATCCCGACGGACAGAACCCCCCTCCCCACAAACCATTACTTCGGAGAGTTCCCCCTGGAAACGAGCAAAACAAGGCAGCCTTTCCTGTCCGGGGCTTAGAATCAAAGCATCGTAGAGTTGGACGGCGCCCCCGAGGATCATCTAGTCCAACCCCCTGCCATGCAGAAATCCTGCCCACAAACCATCCCCGGGTGGGCTCGAACCAGACGCGCCGACCCTTTGGCTGGCGCGCTTTAGGGAGCCAAAAGCGCGAGAAATCCCGAGGGCGCTTCCATTTTCTCCTGGGACAAGACTGGCTCTATTGCATAAGCTCGACTGCTGATCGTGAGGGGACGGAGGTGTGGGGGGGGGGGGGAGAAACAGACCCAAAGGTCCCGGACCGCGGCGGAAACTTTGAGCCCAGCAGCCCCTCGCGGCGACCAGTCCTTACCCGTCGCGGGTTGTTTGGGTTTCCTTCTTTACGCGGCGCTGGAGCCCCGAGAGGCGCCGGGCGCGGGGAAGGAGGGCTTCTCGCCGGGCTTCTCCTGCTGCTGCTGCTGCTGCTGCCGCCTCCTCTTCCCGGCTCCCGCCGCCTCAGGCTCGCCGTCCAAGTCGCGCGTCTGGCAACGAGGAACCAGGAAGGAGCCGCTCATAATGGAGCAGCAGCTGCTGGCGGCGGCGGCGGCGGGAATGAATGAGCGACGGCAGGAGGCGGGAACTCGCGCGGCGCTCGCTGCGGCTTCGGCAGGGGAAGATCCTATGAAATCCTTCCTACCGGTCCCCAGAAGGGAAGGGACGGCAGCCCTGCCTTCCGCTCCCGGCTCCCAGCTCGGCCGCCGTAAAACCCCAAGGATCCGGCTCTCCTGACGCAAGGGGCAAAGCGATCCAGAGGTTTCTTGCCCTCTTGCGTTTTGTTTGGATCCCGGTTTTCTCCTTTTTTCCACTTCTTCCCACCCCCTCTCTCCCCCCACCGCGCAAGCTGTCGAGAAGATTAATAAATCCCGGTTGGTTTGTAGGCGGGATCGAGCAAGGGATCTAAGGAGATTTACAGCGCGCTGCTCGATCGTGTTAAATCCTTGGCGCTGTGATAGGAGAGGAGCTGCTGATGTCCAATGAGAGGGGTTGGATCAGTGGGAGGCTCCGTCAGTGTTCGTGGAAGTGCATGTACTTGAATGCACGCGTGCAATTAATGGTTCAAAGATCAGGGCATAATTTGAGCCAGCCCGCAGGATTTCTTCCCATAGCGGCGACAGCTCTGCTAATAGGGAAAAGGTCAAGTCCCGATGAGGACTTTCACTCCGTCCCCAGTTAGGCTGCAATCATAGACGCAGTTATCTGAGAGTAAGTCCCAATGAACCAATAGGACTCGAGTAGGCATGCATACCAGAGCAGTAGGGTTGGATGTATTCCCCTTAATTAGATTTTCATATGAGTAGAACAAAAGAAATGAAGGGGGAAAGTCAAAAAGTTTAAAAGTTTGTTGCTATATTTATATATATCCCACCTTTTTCTCTGGAGCTTTTTAGATTTTGTAAGTTTGTACGTATATTTAGATGATGCAAATCTTCATCTTAGATAAAGAGGCATTTGCTCTTGCATGAGTGGGAATGAAGAGCAGTTGTTTAAAGATAGGTCTTGCCACTTCCAGTTTTTATAGGCAGTTGGATTAAAATGCTATACCGTAAAATAAAATACTATGTTGGTTTTTATTTAAACCATGTGAGTTTAATATAAACAGGGGTCCCTTCCAACTCTGCAATGCTATGATTCTGCAATTCTATATCTACCTAGAAGTAAGCAACACTGAGTTCAATGGGATTCCTCCCCCCTAAGTGGGTGTGAGATTGCAGCCTTAATATCATTTGGAGTAGAGAGTACTGGAGACTTGTAATATTTGCTTTATTATCAAATGCACAAGCAGAGCATAAGCGAAGGCAAAGAGCAAACACTCCTAGGAGGCAGAATAAATGCCGCTGGGTGTCAGCTACCCAGGCAGAGTCCATGCATTCTAAAGTACTTCACCTGCAGCCAAGCTGTAGCTTGTTCCATTTCTCTCTGAAAAGAAAATCTCATTGAATGCATAGGATCACCACAGCCTTAATTTGTAAAGAAGCCAAGGATCCTGGAAGGATTTCTGCTTTGATCTAGCAGCTCTGAGTGTTAGGCTAACAGCAGCGGGGAGAAGAGCAGAGCCAGCTAAACAAAGTTGACAGCTCTAAGAGGAAGAGATTACATTTCCTTTATTCAAGCATCTGTTCAAATACACACTCCCCAAATTAGCTTCTTCCTCCTTCCACACTTTTGTCTCTACATATTAATGCAGAGTCCAAGGCTCCCTTGACCAACTACATTCTTTCTGTGGCACTCCTGTGGGGCTCAGGATCCCTTGCTTGCAGAGCTGGCAGCTTCTCATCCTTTTTCCAAACGCCCTCCCTTGTGGAGTGTTCCTTCAGCCTCCTCTCCTCTCCCCTCTCCTTGGGATTCCTCCAGGCAGTTGCTGCTGCCACCCCTAGTCTCCGACCTGCCCCCTCCCCCCAAGAGAGGTGCCTCCTCAAACTGCCCCACAGGAGCCTGGGACTTGTCTGTCCATTCCAAACAGCAAGGGTTGGTGGATTGGCTGGCTAGGTTCCATCACCCGATTGCTTGCTTACTCCAAGGCCACCTCAGCTCATGACAACCAGCAGCCCCATACCATCCCCAGAGGCACCATTCACCTGCTGAGCTTGTAGCCAGGGATGCTGCAACTAACAGGTGTACAAGCCTTTGGGAGATGTGAGAAGGCATCAGAGGAGGAAGGGAAGGAAAGAAGGACAGTGTCAAGACCAGTGTTGCTCGCTGCACCCCTGACCACCATTCAAGGTACCCCAGGGTGCCATGGAAAACCACTGTATTAATGGAAGGTTCAGAGCACAAAAAGGATCAGATTATGAAGCTGTAAATAAACAAGGGCACTTTAAAATAAAAAGAAATGGTGAGTTGCCCTCATCGCATTTCTGGATCTGTTTAGGAATTACAAGCTTTCTTGGTAAGTGTTTGGGGAAACCTGGCTGTTCTCCAAGAGTGTTTTACTTCTTCATAAGATTGACACATGCATATTAATGGTGTCATGGGCATGCACCTTATTCTGTTGCCCTCTGGGAATGGCTGTTCCCAACATCAGCCCACCTAGAGAAATTAAACCAAACACACCTGGGAATGACAGGTTTTTAGACCTGGATGAGTCAGGGTGGGACAACACTCAAATACTACATTTGCAATAAACAACCAAGGACATCAACCAGAACAGAGAAAAGTTGCTTGGCTGAGGAACCTGGTCAGTGCTAATTGATTACCGTGAACTACATTTCAGCAGCAGTATGGGCTTTAATGTCAAGAAACACTTTTGCACATGTCCTTGTGAATACTGATCAAGCATGCACTGAAACTTATCTTCCATTTTGAGCTAGATAGCAACTTTTGGGGAAGGAGAGCTTGGTTCGTCATACAGCTAAGCACTGCAAGGTGGATGCACCGGTATTCTGAAACAGGTAATTCTGAATGTTGTCAATATCACAAAAAATTACATCACCACATTTAACAAACTGAATCACCCCCTCTTTTGCCTGGTTTACCTCATTCTAATTAATGATTCATTTGCACAATGATGAATACACACACACACACACACACTCAGCAAACTCCTGGAGACACGCTTTCAGCCTCCTTGATGTTCTGCCCCCACTTCAGATTTGTTAATGTCCTTGCCAAGATTCTCCTTGACTAGCTAATTTCCATACATTCATCCCAGCTTGTGTCTGATCTGCAGTTTTTGCAAAGAAATATATGAGCAGTCAGAAACCAGGATTACAAGAAACATTTCCAGAAAGAAGCAGCATTATCAGAAGCTGCTTAGAGAGACAGAGAGAGAAACGGAATATGTATATATATATATTAACAGTGACAGGGTAGGAAGGAAAGCTTTCAGAAGTTATGAGAGGCTGCAAATAACTAGTTATCATAATGTTCTTGTCATCCTACAGCTGGCTCTCCATTCAAAGTGTGTCTGCCCTTTTTTGTTCTTTTTTCCATCTCGTCTTTGTTCAGTGCATTTTATTTGCATCACAGTAATAAGTCTGGTTCAAGATTTGGGAGGGGTGCTGGCAAGGTGCCCTCTGATGTGTCTTTTCTAACATTGCTGCTTACCACTCTGGTGGGTAGCAGCAGTGTTCTGAAAGCAGCCATTAGAATTTCCACCAATGGCCTGGAGCTGCACTAAGAGGCATTGGGGAACTTAAAATAGGGGCTCCCTGATCCAGCTGACCAGCCCTGATAAGAATTCTTGTTAAAGGGAGAAGCACTGCCATCAGGCATTAGTGATAGGGCGGCACAGGGAGTTCTTGGCATGACAGCATAAGTCCAGCAGCTCCCTGGCATCCGGGGCCAGAGATGCCACCTGGCTGCCCACCTTTGCCTGCCTGCCTGGGCCTGCACACACGCAATCTCTTCCCCTAGTGAGAGCTCAGAAGAACCTGTTTCTCTCTCTCTTTTTTTGCAACAGAATATAGATTTGCATAGTGCTGATCGACTGTCCATTGTATCAGTCACAAAGCCACTCTCCTCTTTTAGGAGGATTTTTAATATGAAAAGCGTTGCCCTTTTTTAAAAGAAGGGCAGAACAAATAAGTGATCAGATCAGCATGTTAAACACAGGTTGAAAAGGGAAAAGGAGCAGTACAGCTAAAAGGAGGGACCAGAGCTCAGTGGTCTAAAGTATTGTAGGAAAAGGGAGACAACTATAGTTTGCAAGGTGAATGCAGTTAAGTCTATGAAAATTGATGCCGTCTACGTACCACCTCAAACATCTTAGACCCTAATTCACCTACAGTTTGGCTACAGTCCTATGCACACCCACCTGGGAGTAAACTACATTGAACCCAATGAGGTTTCTATCTGAATAAACATGCACAAGATTACTCCCGTGTGCTAGATCAGGACCTGGGTGTTAGTGAATATGCAAGGCTTGAGTTGGATGACCAGAGGCCAGGAGGTAGGAGTCATTTCCCCAGTGTGCCCCCATCCACATGCAAACATGCTCCCAACAGTGAACAAGCAATTATAGAGCCATTTGGAAGCACAATTAGAGATAAAGACATGCATTTTAAATGATGCCTATGATGAAGAGCCAAACAGATCCTTTGATAATTAATATAATCATCAGCTCAGCTCAATCATACCGACAAAGTAAAGATATCATAAGGTGGGTGGGTTTTTTGCCCTTATTATTTCTATCCTATTGAATTCTGATGAATGTAAAACCAACTGGGATTAATTAGCTAAAAGTGCAGTTCTGCAAGTTGAGTATACTATTAAAAATGGCTGCATATTGCTTGATTCTTCTTGCGAATAAGAAAAGTACCATATAATTTGAATTATAATTTTAAATATATTCATGAACCTCTTATCAAATCTGTCGAGTAAAAGTTCATTAAAAGTCAGAGTCAATTAAATAAATGTGTATGATTGCCAGCTATGCATCTCCTGGGGTATTTGGTAATATGTGTGAGACATAAGACAATATGATACTATAAGCTGTTATCATTGCTCAGCTGTTACATGGCTGAAACTCTTCAGCATTATAAAAGGCATTTTTAAAGATTGAAAAGCAAAACTGTAGGGCCTTCACTCTTTTTCAAATGCAAATTTAAGTGTGGTGTCAAAAACAGTAAATATACAACAAGCTGAAACAGATAGAAGGCAACAATTTGGAAATTGTACATATGAATGATACAAGTTACTATAGAATGGGACCATGGTTTGAATGCATCACCTAAAAATGTGGATTTTACTGTGAAATGTTCACATGTTCCATGTTGATTTTCTCAAAGTTGTGAAAATATGAAATCTGAGTGACCTTCGATTTCAGCACTGGCTTTAAGTGGTCCACCTAAAAAATGCAATGGAAATATTAACTGTAGATATTTTTGTTCTTTATTTAATAAGGAGAAAGGAGGATAGCCATTGGGTCTCAAGCCCAAGGTGAGTTAGGGACTTCCCCTCCATGTGAAGACAGGCTCTGGCAGATTGAGTGGATGAGACCAATAGTGGGTCCA